TTTCTGTGGTTTAGGGTTAGTCTAATTCTGTCAGCAGGGGAGATTTTATCATTCACTTGAATAAGACAGAAGTTAACATAAACTGTTTTGTTTTGTTTTCTGAAAATTTTATCCGGTAGTTACATTGATTTATTTCAGGATATTTTCATATGACAGACTTTTTTCTACAGGGAGAAGTAGAGTTAAACTTCATGTCAAAATAGAACCCAGTGTTAAAAATAAATAAATAAATAAATAAAATAATTACTTTTACGAGGGAATCTTTCAATGGATTAAAAAAAAAAAAAAAAAAAGAAAGAAAAAGTGTTAATTCAACCCACACAGTCTATCATTGGTATCCTGTGCCACTGCCTACGCTCTATGTAGTCATTTACGCTTCTGTCAGGTGGAAAATGCTGTGCAGAAGGCCAGTTCCATGCTACAGCCAATGGACAGAAAAAGAAAAATCCCATTGCAAGGTGTAACTTAGTTGGAAAATAAACTGCATAACACATGAGTTATAAGAGCAGATATTTTTCCCTATAGACAATATTTTCTTTTGATCCTAACCTTCACAAACTTTTCAGCCTTTAGGGCTGAATTGGGCAGTGTCCCAAACCGTATTGCTTTTCCTTTTAAAAAAAAAATTATAGGCCAAACAAAATTTGCTGCCTAGCAATTCTCTATGGTTGGATAGGAGTAGAAGGGAGAACAGATCGAGAAGAAATTGGAACTCTTGTCTGAGGGATAAGTGCAGAGTATAACGGGTCAAAAGATGAGGTTTAAGGGGAAAATGATGGCAACAGAGAGAAACAGAGAAATATTAACTGCTAAGGAAAATATGACTATTAACACAGGTTTTGGAATTGCTGAATATGTTGGATATGAAAGAAGAAGTGGAAAAAGAGCAATGTGAATGTATGGGAAACGGTTATATAAAATGTTTCCTTCCCTAATCTGGGGGTCAACGCTGTAGCTGTAGTCTGACTGTGGCTTCAGCTGTCCACCACTGGTTTGTGAAAGTCACTTTCAGATTGTTTATCTCAGAGCACACAGGTGTCCTCATTAGTTCAGGTGGAAGTCTGTGCTGGAGCTCCTAAGAGACAAGGGGTCTCTTGCTGATGGAACAAAATAGATTATTAGTTTTGTTCCATGGGGTATGGATTTTGTGTGTGCTCATCTATGTTAGTCACACTAGTCTCTTCAGTTGGTCACATACTGTTTCCCTTAGCCCTTTAGTATTAGTACAAATGATTCAGCATGGTAAAGGAAATGTATAGTATATCCTTTTCTTTGAAGAAATTAAAAGGCATATATGTGAAATAGGCAGGAAACTCACAGAAGACAGGAAGTGGTCTTATCGTTATGAAAATTGGCCACCATATGAACAGAATTCTCTCCCTGCTTTTACTGATAAGTTCCTATTAAAGATGGCCAAATTGTCATGACCAAAGTTTTCCATTGGTCCCTAACTACTTATTTTTAGATTTTCTACAGTGGGCCAGATTGGCAGTCTGCTCTCCCAGCTGCAGTTTAAAGTCAGTGGTAGTGTGCTTTGGACATATAAATTGCTGTACAAATACTAAGTAGTTAAGGAAAATCAGTACTCTTGTTTCATAGATTGGGAACCCAAAACCCATGGAAACTTTTGCCATTTTTGCACATTATCTCTGTGTCTAACTGTATCCTTATAAAATGGGCATGATAGGATGGAAAAAGCTGATTCTCCAACAGCTTCTGAAATCAATTAACATTTGTGAAAGCTCTAAAACACTCTGGAGGAATTTATTAATTTTCCTTTTTAGTATACTGTTGGAGCATCATACTAAATTCTTAACTATTCATTTATTAAATGAAGCATAAGTCCTGTAGAAAAAAAAAATAAAAATGTGATAATGAAATGAAAGCTGTATTCCTCCACAGTGTTCTCATGAAGGAAACAAATGGGTTGCCATGTGAAATATTCAATGTAGAAAATGTGGGAATCAAATGCTTGATTTCACTTTATCGGGATGGTGTTTATTTTTTTTTTTAGCATATTCAGAGAGGAAGAAAAGTTGATATTATACCTAAATTTGTTCCCATTATCAATAAAATATATCATATTGATACAGAAATGCTTGTTGTATGTATTGCAGTAGGTATTCAGTATCCACAGTTAAGAATTGCTCTGGGCCAATGGGATTGCAAAATATCTGTCGGCTTTGGCTGACAGCCTAGGGTTGCCACAGCAATTTTTCTCTTTAATGAGTAAAATAGGTGGTGTTTATAGAAAAATAACTGTCTCATGTGAAGCTGTGCAAAAAGTTCCACTCAAAACCATTCTGTTTATATATAGTTTTGTTGTTTGTTTTCTTTCCTTTTCACTTACTATTGCGGACATTTGCATGAAAACAGGATATTTCTCCTTCAAATTGCAGTCATGGACAGAATAGCCACTATGCCAAAACACAGCCAACCCACTTCAAAGAAGCAAACTATTTTGCTCACCAAATCTGTTTCTCTGATGTATGTAAATAGGAGATGTATGTAAATACTGTAAAGTTTACAGTATTTATTTTCCTAACTAAATTTAGGGCCTTTTTTTTTGGCCTTTTTTTTTTATTAGTTCTGTAAAACCAACAAAACAATACAGATATAATAATAATAATAACAAGAATATGTTAGCAAATGTGTTAGAAGATGAAAGGAAAAAACAAAAAAAAACAAACAAACAAAAAAAAAAAACAAAAAAAACCAGTAAAATAAATAACTTTTATGTTTCAGTATTTATAATGAAAGCAGAAATAAAAGTATTTTTGCTAAATGTACTAACATTTTTTAACACAACTTAAATAATCAGGAGAAAGAAAAATAGAACAGCTGAGTTCTGTTTAGGCTGATGGTGATCAAGAAAATAAGTAAATGCAGGATTCTAGGAATGTCTGTGTTCTTTCTGATGGACAAATTTTACTTTTCCAGTCTCAGGCTGAATGTAATATCCTACCAGTTTGAGGTGCACACTTGACATTGCTTTTATGGACAAGCAGCATATTTCTTCTGGCCAGCATTGTTTTATAATGCCATTAAGATAACCTTTAGGGGTCCAATGCTGAATGAGTGTGCAACATGCATTTGCATAACCTCCTGGTACTGAACCTTTGGATCCAGGTCGCTCTGGGTGCAGCTGATTCACAGGGAAAACTCTCAACTGCCCAGATAGCTCTGTGTCACTTATTTCTCTATCAGGAATTGGTAGGAGGGTGGGTACAGCATTGCTGCCAGCCCCTGTAGCCCTCATCCTAGAAATAATGAAGGCAGAAGTATGAATCACCAAGCCTTCCAGCTGGAGGCCGCCGCAGCCTGATCTGTCCCCTGCCTTGTAGGGGCTCACTTGCCCTGGACTGGGAGCCAGGATTTATATTCACCATACTAATAAGTACATATTCTCTCTCAGGTTAAGAAATGGAAGAGTAAGATTTCAGGGCAAGTGAACATAATCCTTCGGCTGTTCAGATTTGCAGAGAAATTAAATTACACGGGTTCCAGCTTGTACTACACAGATCATGTTTTCCAGTGTCACAAGTACCACATCTTCCCAAAGGTACTTGTAAATCATTAAGACAAAATTATTTTTCCCAATAAACATTCCATAGTTCTTATGTAGCCAGTCTGCATTTGGCTCTGGAAGACCAGCTAATTACTAATCTCCGCCTCTTATGGGCCATGTGAATACATGATTTGCAAATAAAAATATAAGAACTCTGCAAAATGTACCTAAGAATTCTCTTTACATATGTAAGCTGCTTTTTTTTTTTTTTTTTTTTTTTTTTTTGCCATGTCAGTTCCCAGAGTCAGGTTCTATTTGCTGAGGCTGAACACTATGAATGTGACTAAACAGTATCAGTAACAAAGCAGTGGAAAAAAACATAAAGGGTGCTTTGGAGAAGTGTGTCATATTTATTTCTCTCTTAGGATTGTTCCCTAAATACTTGAACAACAATTTGCTTTGCTGCTTTCGGCATAGACAACTAATAATACATATTCGTATTCTATTTTTTATTATTACTTGGTGCACGTTTGTCCTAATGAAATATTTGGAATATGATTCAGCATAGATGTGCTGGTTAGTGTCGTTGGTTATCTATTGGTAATATTCTGCTCCCACCTAGCTTGTTCAGTACTGCTTTGGCGAATGGTTGCAGATTTTAACAGTGGGCAATTCACAGTAATACAAACAAACAACACACTAAGTAAATATATGACAGAAGAACAAATTTAAAAAGAGTAAGAAATGCATCGCAGTGGACTAACAGGGTCTGAAATTGTCGTGGATAAGAACAGCAGGTGAGCGAAGGCGCATCAGGAAAAGATAAGAATTTTTTAAAGCTTGGCTGCCACAAACATCAATGGAGCTGACTCAGCATGGGAAGAGTACAGTAATTTGCTGTTGATTCAAAAGCCAGTAGTAGCTCACTGCTACCCTTCTGGGTGATGTGGAGAGCACTTGCCGGAAGTGCTGATGACTAACCTTGGACTCTGTGGAATGCTGCTGCTGTGGCTCCTCAGCCCATCTCTTGTGCTGTTGCATTCCAGGGACATTCCACTGGGAACAAGGGCAGGGCATGGAGCTGCTGGAATAGCAGCAGTCAGCATCAGTCCAGCAGCCAAAAGATATAAATGATACCAGTCATCTTCTTAGAAGTTTCAGTTTAACAATTCAGTTGGCTTTGATAATTCAAAAATGTTGCTTTCACTTCACCATTGCTTGCACCATGGGTCAAAATGCATGGCAGATATATACTTGATGCACAAACAAATATTTAACAGTATAATTTGTATTTGCAAGATTTCTTATGTAAAATATTATTTTGCCACGTTATTCCTCTAGCATTTTGCTTGCTAGAAGCAACGCCTTTTTCTGCCTGTCTTCCTCCCATCTTCGTTTGGTTTTCTGTACAGAAATATATTTAGACAGTGTTGATGATTAATTTGCTGTTAAATTATCACTCTTCCTGACCTTTCTCTGTTTACATTGCCAGCTCATGGATGCTACAACTGTAGGACTGTATTAACTGACCCGTCTGGAGTTTTCACTTCTCCATGCTTCCCCAGTGATTATCCCAACAGCCAAGCATGCAAATGGATCATCCGAGCACCTCATGGATTCATCATACAGCTAACATTTATTGATTTTGACATTGAAGAAGCTCCAGGCTGCATTTATGATTCACTGACATTGGACAATGGAGAGATCCCAATGAACCTCTGTGGAATCACCGCCAAGGGATTATCATATAATTCTACTGGAAATGAAATGATTGTGTCCTTTAAAAGTGACTTTAGTATCCAAAAGAAAGGTTTTAATGCCAGCTATGTACGAAGTAAGTAAACCCAAAGCATTTCATACCTCTAATAGCTAAAATGTCCTGCTAGAAGGAAATTTCTTATAGCTTATTAGAATGACATTTTCTGACAGAGCCAAGTGCTCCATGAGAAGGAAAGGGGTGAATGGAGATGCAGGGTGAAACTATAGAATTTTCTGGTATGTTTTTTAATTAATTTATTTTTCTGTTGATAAATATACATATATTTTTTTCCAGGACATGACATCCTTAAGTGCATTAGAAAACTTTTCACATGCAAAAATTTTAGGCCCAAGTTTTTTTTTTTTCTGAAGATTTATGTGGGGAGATTTAGAAGTGGGACACATCCTTCATTTCAGTGTAACTGCAGAACATAGTAACGTAAAGGCCAGCATGAGCTTAGCCAACAGCTGCAAGGCCAGACAAAACCTTTGGCCCAGTAAAACACCCTATAGTTTGCAACCTACTAGTGCAAAAGCAGAACTTCCTTACAGTTTTTCTCCAGTCTCCAGAATAAACTCCGAGGGATGAACTGTCACTGCAAAACTGCTGCCTTTCATTCCAGTTCCTCGACCTTTCTTTCTCTTTGTAAATATGTAGCAATGCTTAGATTTTAAAAAGCCTAACAATTGGAGGGGGGGGGGGGAGGGGGAGGAGAGACACCCATGCTTTTCACCCTAGGAGAAGATAAGAGGACAAATAATATGTGATTGATATTTGTTTTGTTTTTTAAGGCATTACTAGAAGTTGTTCTTGGTAAAGGGCTGCAACATAAATGAAGGCATTAGGATTGCCTTGCCTCTCTTCTATTCAGGTTCCAGAACTCCAGAAGGACTCCAGGTCCTCTATTCTGCTCATGGGAGCAGAGTAGAGGAGGGAATCACTTCCCTTAACCTGCTGACCACACTTCTGAATCAAAATGCAGCCCAGGATACAAATGGCTTTGTGGGCTGCAGGCATACAATGCCAGCTCATGCCAAGCTTTACATTCACTGGTATCCCTTACTCCTTCACTGCAGGCCTGCTCTTGATCAATTCATTACCTGGTCTGTCCTGACACTGGGGACTGCTGAAATGTAGCCCATTACACTTAAGTTGTATTGGCTGGTTGTGTAGAAACACAGAGTAAGGAGGTTTTCAGTACTCAGTCACAAATATACCTTTTTCATGGGGGAAAAAGAATAAAAATCAAAATACCTATTACACATACAATATATTAAAATAAGAAACATAACAACCTCCATAATTGTAAGACAAAAATAGTCCTGATTATGCCAGGAAAATTAATTTGCAGTTCTGAATAGAAAAAAGGTAAAGTCATATCAGAGGAAATAAATATTTCTTATGCTGAGATCCTTTCATGCTGACAGAGAGAGTATAGTAATAACTCAAGGAGCACCTGTTCTCTTCTGTAAGTGGAAGCAAATTTTCTGAAAGGTTTCTGTTTGAAAGTAGTGGCTCTTCTGTACAGCAAGTTGTTAAATCAAGTAGATCATATAAAATGGTATGCAATCGGATTATGTAATATGATTTATTGCATTATTCCTCTTTGCTATTTTAATATTTAAGAATAAGACATAAGATAACTTTCAGCAGGAATTGAAAGATGCAATATTATCCTCAGATGTATTCAATGTAGAGAAAAAGAAAGGGTGACATATATAGTTAGAAAATTGTCTCTATTATACATACATATAGGTAATGTATTTCAAAAATATTACCTCTGTGCCAAATTGAACAGTACCTTATCTTCACAAATAGCACCCTTGCAGTTAAAAAGTCTTAGAAGACACACTTTTATTTTGAATAAGAAGGCTACTCAACACTGTGGGTAAAGGTGTCAGTGATCTTCACTAGCAACATATTTCAAGCTTACATGTTAGTTCAGGCACTCTGTGTTAAGGCCTGCTCTTAAGCTATCTCATCTAAGGTTCCTGAATTTTTGTGTCTTTACTCTAAATCTATAACTCTCAGTTAAATTCTTGGTTTTGACTGTGGATGTTATAGAGGACAGGTGGCTGTGTGCACCCAGGGCAACTTACAACTTATAGGCCACATTCTGCATGGCAACCTTTAACCAGGCAATTGATACAGACAGAGTTTCGTTAAAGGGTGGTAACATAGTCCTTTCCTGTTCTTGCAGAGAATTCCTAAAGGCAGTGCTACACACACTCATTTCAGGTCATTGTGGAACTTCAAAGCTCCATTTTCAAACTGGCACCATTCATACCATCATAAACATGATACCGAGGCTATATCATGAATTTCTCCCAGAGAGAGGGGTATGGTGTTATTGTACTCTACTCATGTTTTCTGTCATTTCTCAGCAATGATCATATGTAAATAATAAAATTAAGTGGTTTGTTCTATTTTGACTTTATGTGCAATGCAAAGGGCCATTCAAAGACATACAGCAGTTTGCTATCTAGAAATTGCACTTATAAAGGTACTAATAGTACACCTTAATACAAAATGTACACAAGGCAAAATATATGTGAGGAAAAACAAATAAGAGCAAATGAATTTGGGTAGGGAACTGGCTGAGAATAGAACAGCGTTTGTGTGACTGCTCAGTTTTGTGTAACAGTGGTTTCAAACCGAGTTTCACAGAGCACATCCTGTTATATATAACAAGCTGGCTGCCCACAGAAACGCTGGCCTCCTGCAGCACAGCAAAAGCAGAAGATAGGCCGTATCCTCAGCTGCAGTAAATGAATATAGCTTTGCTACTCCTAGGGGAATTATGTCAGCTTACAGCGGCTGAAGAGCTGGCATGTTAAATAATTTTCTAGTAATACTTAACTGTGTAAGTAATAACTCCATTGATGAGTTGAACTCACTCAGATACCCAAAGGAGAGGAGGAAGACCTCTGATAACGCAGAAATGCTTGAGACAATGTAACATAAATCAGCACAAAGTTGAGTAGTACTGCTGTAGCCCAGATTAAAGGATGAGTCAGTGCAGCATTCACTGCAACAAAACTTCTCAAAAAGGTATGTAGTGTGTTGACACTGGTGCATTTCTTCCAGCATTAGTGGAGAGACAGCTGAAAGCAGTGAAGCTAGGAACAGCGGAAACCACTACACAAGGCACCAAACCACTCCGAAAAGCCCATCAACTGGCAGGAAAGCAGTTTTCCCCACAAGTGATTGTAAAATAGTCAAGAGACTCCTTGGTTGCTTGTGTGTAAAGGGGTGTAAGAGATGTAAGATAGCTGAAACAAAGACAAGTAAGGAAGGGACTCTAAAAAGAAGCAGAGGCAGACTTCTTGTCATTGCAGCACTCCCATAAAAGCAGATGTGGATTTTAGAACAGTGAGCTGCCTGTTGCTGATCGCTTCTGCCGCATCCCAGCTGCCAAGACTTTTGTACATTTTTCATAAGTAAATAGCAGTGCGTCCAAAGTAAACGCTGTTCATTATAATCCAGTTATCTTCCTAACAGAAACAGTTTAACATCACCCTGCATGTAGTCTAAACACTTGCATGAACAGACCAAGAATATATGTATATTCTCCCTCAGAGACTAATCAGCTTCTCCAGTACTAACATCTGAAATTCATCAGTACAATGACTGGCTGTGCAACAGCAACTGGGAGAGAGCTCTTAATGTTGATGGCAGGATTGTGTTTTCTCCACATGTATAAGATACTTGTCAGTTTTGTCCTTTCACTCAGGGAGAAGGTGCCAATGGTAAAATCTGTCAGAAGAGTACCGTAATTTTGAGTAGATTTGTTCAGTACCAGAGCAGTGGGGTTCTCCCTGTTTATTTCTCTTCTCACACTGTTTAAATGTGACCAGGTGGTCTGTAGCTCTCCTGACCACTCTAACACAGGCTGGGTGGTGCTCACATGAGTGAGCTTTCTTCTTTTTCAAGTCCTGAATCTTTATACTTCTTCTGGAACACTTTCCATGTTACATAAAGAACTGTACTGTATAATTATCTCATAAAAAAATGCCCTTGTTTTCAATGGAAAGTTGAACACATTTTCTATCTATAAAATTGTTCCAACATACTTCTGTGTTTGGGAAACAAACAAACAAAAAAATCTATGAAGTAAATCCAGTATCTATAAAAGCCCAGAATTTCTCTCTTCCATCCCATTCTCCAGTTGCTGGGTTGGCAGATAACGTATAATGTTTTAGGTTATTTTACTATAGTATGTATAGGTCAAATTGTGTCCTTTCATATATCCAAATATGGTAGCTGGAGCTCAGTCTGCAAGCTGCTGATAAAAAGAAAGTGTAATACCATAGAATATACAGGATCTTTATAGTCCATATGTCTTTCTCTTCCTGAATGGGGCATGACAGTCACCCTTCCCTCACATATCTCACCCCCTCATAACGAAAAGTTTTATTTCACTCTGAAAAGGGAGCAAGTATAATAATTAGCACGTGACATACCATCATTTAAAAATCCCAAAGGAGACCGTGCTTTTAATGTGACAATTATTCTTCAAGTCTAGCAAAACCCGGTTTCAGTTCCAGCATATGCACTGTCAAAGCCTGTCAGAGAGCTGGAAGAAATTTGTTGGCAGTGTGATCTGCCACAGAACTGTGGGGCCAGAAGTAAAGCCAAGAACGGCTGCAACAAGTCTTATTGACTTTGATACTTTTTCATTACTGATTACCTGAAACTTCTTTATGTGGAGAAATTTACTAGAAGAAAATTTCTGCCATAAATGTACCAATAAAATTGAGAATAGTGACACTTTATTTTGAAAAATAATGTTCTCCAAAGTAGACTCAGCAGCATTGTCATTAATACACTCGTGGAGAAAAAGTATATGTAATTAGATACTGTTTTTCACATTTGGTGACTGCCATTTTGCCAGTGCAAATGAGAATACTTAATAAAAATCAGAGACAAAGTAATTCTGCTCATGCCTAAATACTCCTACTGCAGTGCATTTTTTGCAAGAGGACTAGCCATTTCTAGATACTTGTCCCTAATCTTAAACTGCTGACACAAATATATGCAAAGAGTGAACAGCTTGGATAAAAATATTCACAAACACATGATTGCCATGTTCAACCAGAAGGCTGCCGGGAACAAAACGGGAAGATGCCTAGTGCATTGCAGAAACATGTTACCAGAATTCAGAAACAAAAGTCTTCAGTTTGTCAAGGAATGTAATGGAGGTTTTATTCTACTGCGATATTAATATTTAAAAGTGAGGCCTGAACTTTATTGGTGTAATGCAGTCATGCAGACAAGTAATTAAAATAATGCATCTTTAAAAAGTTATACTGTGTTTTTAAAATAGCTGCTTTACTCTATTGCATAATGCAACCTTCCTAGATGAATGTGTAGTAATTTTTATAAAGTGAGTGGAAGCTAGTAGGTAATATTTCCTAATATTGCTCTTAATGCAACTTCTGGAGTAGTTAGCTGTGGGTAGAGCAGCATTCTCCATCCTGCTGAAAAGGAATGTTTTTGGTTGAGTGCACTCCCAAGCCAAATTCCCCTCAGTGTGTGCTTTTGATATATTACACTGATTAAAAAACACTGTTAAACTGCTGCCAGTCTGCCTTTATTTTTATATGAGAATATTTTCCAGTTAATTTATTTATCTGCTCTATGTTCTAGTCGCCGTGTCTCTGAGGAATCAGAAGGTCATCATTCCCCAGGATCCCGATGTTGATGCCGTGTCCATGGCAGAGACAGTCTTGGTTCCAGAGCTTAGCCAGTTTACACTGTGCTTTGAAGCAACCAAGAGCAGCAGTGATGACAATGACGACTGGAAGATCTTCTCCTACACTGATTTGTCATCGAAAGAGTTCTTCGGCTTTGGAAAGACCACAAAAGGCCATTTTCTGTCTATCTCAGGGACCCAGTGCTTTCTTGATAATGCATTGCCTCGAAATGCAGAGTTTTTCACAGGAACCTTTGAACAGCTCTGTGTAGTAGGGGATAGCTTCTCGGGTGCAATAGGTGTATATGCCAAGAGTACCTATCATAATGTATACTGTCCGGCTATGTTTGGCAAAGTTATCCCTGGAAACGGTAGGCTGGTGCTGGGCTCTAACAGCAATGAAGTGAGCTCTCTAAATGGAGACATTTACAACTTCCGCCTCTGGAATTTCACCATGAATGCTCAAACACTGGCCAACCTCAGCTGCGATGTGAAAGGAAACATTGTAGACTGGGAAAATGAATTCTGGAGTATTCCAACTTCAGCACTGAAAGCAGAAAACAATTTGAGTTGTGGTGAGTATGCCTTGCCAATTCCTTTTTGCTTATTTTCCCCCCACACTTCTGTATTATGCTGAAAATATCTTACCCCAGCAAGAAAAAAAAAAAAAAAAGTTATTGTGAAAGAAAAACAGGTAGATCTTGCCTTTCTTTGAGTTTAGCTCGATTCTTACCATACACAGAGTCTTTGAAATGGCATTAATTGATTCTATAAGGGAAAAAAAAAAATCCCCTAAGTATTTTGAGTTGCTGCTTGAAATAATCTACAGATCAGAGTTCTTTCCCAGTAGTTTGTTTCCTGAAATTCTACTAACATGAAGCAGGAAAGTACCTGCTACCCTCAAGTTAGACTACCATGGTTTCCAGAGAGAAAAAAATATGTGTTAACTAACCACTTAGTAAATGTTTTTTTGTACCTGCACGTTGGAGCTTTCATTAGCTAGAAGGAGCACCTGTTAGCATTTTTCTGCATGTGCAGATAACCAGTAAAAGCAGAGGCAAACTGGTAATGCATACAAGATAGAAAAGTACAAGAAAAGATAAATTAAAGGAGACAGATGGAAAGGAAGATATTTATATCAAAATCATTGTTTCTTATCATCCTGATAACATCTTGTCAACCTTTCTTTCAATTGGTAGTTTAAAACAGAATCTGGCATCATTAAGACATTCTGGTTTCTCTATCTAGTAGCTCATGAGGGATAAAGGTGGCTAACATCACATCTTACTTAGTTTACTGAAACCAAAATGCGAGGTAGACTTAGTGGCACAGCTCTCAGCATACTTTTAGGTGCCTACCAGCACAACAAAGACACTAACATAAACAATGATCATGACTGATAAAGTTCCAAATGCAAAAGTTGTTTTTCCATCCATACAAATAGAAAAATATGAGAGAAAGCAATTTCCCAGAAAATCTTACTCTTCTTAAACCACTATACCAAGATGACCACAATACTTACTACTTACCAAGATGCCTGTAAACATTGCAGTCTTACCTGATTTTGCCTGGAGTATGGATCTTGTTCATCTTTCTATTAAACACTGTACAGTCCTGTTATATTAGTGTAACATCATAGCTGTACTCACAGAAGTAATACAGTTATTTGCATTCCACATCACAACTTTATCCTTTGGGATGTCATTTTTTTCAGTGGTTTCCTTACAGCAGATTATTTTAGAAAACACTTGTCAGCATTCTAACATTAGCAAGAACATAGGCCCAGGTTTCTATACATGCTGCTTCAAGTGTATCTCTATATAAGCATTGTTACTTCCTGTAACTAAGCATGTGAGAAAACCAACTAACCACTTTCTTTTTTTCAAATATATTAAATTACCCAATATGATACAGGCTTCCCTAGACCAGCATATGTCCTAAAAAAAAACATGTCGGGTGCAATGCAGATTCAGAAATTGTTGCTAATCCCAGAGATGGTGTTGTTAGATTTTTTTTTTTTCCTTCATCTTCTTGAATAAAAGCCTTCATTGTAAAACCAGCCTTTAACATGAGAGTGATGAGTCAGACTATCAACCATGAATAAACCACTGACAGTAGTGAGATTAACTGATTAGACTTCATTTAGCTGCAGTGGAAGGATTTATGCAAAAAAAAAAAAGAGGTTTTCACTCAGCTCCAATAATGCTTTCCCAGGAAGCCACTTGTAACAAAACAAAACAAAACAAAACAAAACCAAAAACAAACAAACAAACAAAAAACACCTCTCAAAGTATTTGTGCCTGAACATTGTTAAATTTTTCAAAGGATATTATTTTCATGATTTTTCAGACAAGTAGGTTTATTGAGGATAAAAACACCAACAAATTGTTCCAGATAATCTTTTCATGATTTTACCTTCTCCTAGTTTATTCCTTAGACTAATGTTTTCACAGCTGTGCAATCATACTGGGGTGTTTCTGGAAGACTTGACGGAATTCTTTTTTCATTGCTGTACCTTCGCAGGGCTTGCATTTAAAGGTATATATACACAGCCTAATCCAGACTAACTTTAAAAGAAGTAGTTTAAGTAGTGAGAACAGTGTAATAGAATCAGTGCAGAGCTTAGTGCAGGCAAACCAAGGAGTATTTAGTCAAATACAAATACTGTACTGATTTTGGAGCCTGCAATGGTTGCACATATAGCAGAATATAACCCACTCAATTTAAGGCTGTCTTTGCTGAATGTGTGCTTGTGCCTGCAATTACTGTATCATGTACTTCATTTGGATCCTTCCTTCCCAAATCAAAATTCTTAATTTTGCTGTCAAATTTAGCTTGGGGTAGGATCTGTCTGCTTAGGCAGCTGAAAGATAGTTGTTTAAGGCTGAGCTAATTGCACTCAGTGCTGTTTATGAATAATGGAGTGAAAACGGCTGTTCAGGTTGTCAGTTCATTTCACATTAGAGTAGATGTCTCAGTTAAGTCAGAAGTTTTATGCTGTAGGAGTGCCTGTTTCTCTCCACTGACTATAAGGAAAATCCAACATGATAAGGAGATACGGATGTCTGAGTTTTAGACATTTAAAGTGGGTGAGAAACATCACACAGAGTGTCCATAATGCAGGGCCATGTCTGCTGTTCCTATTACTGACCATGCCATTGAGCTTAATAAGGGAGCTTGTGCCAAGTATCTGTTCATAGCCGGATCATTGTACTTCACTGAGAGAACATCTAATCTGGCTAGAATTCAACCTGATTAAAAAATTAAAAAGGTCATTTAACATATTCACTGAAAATATTCCTTGTTAAACAATACAGTATTCTGCCTTAGATGTCTTCTAAAGTCTGCAGATTTTCTGTCATCTTTCAGGTGATCTTTCCATGATATAGCATTGGGAGGAGGTTATTCACAGCAGGTTTAGATGTATGTTGGCTGTTTAATAGAGGTAAATATATTTTGGAAAAAAGTCTCACGCAGAAGGTAGGGAACTTAGAACATGCTTCCTGAAGTTGATAGGAAGTCTACAAAGGAAGTCAATTTGCCTGTATCTCTTAATCCGTTTTAAACAAACAAGCAAACAAAAGCTAAACAAAACAAACAAAACCCCCACAAAATTACTGAACTTTTGTATTTGTAGAGAATCACATTTTAACTTCTGTCTTGTATTTTGTTGGCAATACATGTAAGACATCCACTTCTGTATTGAAGCCCCATGCTTCATCTGTTATTCCATCATGGGAAATATTTTCATAGCTATCTTTACAAGCTGGTGGGTGATGGCTCTGTAATTTTATGGAAGGATATGGTGTTTCATGAGAGAACCTCACTGAGTCAATATGATTCTGAAGTGGTAAAATAAAAGTCAAACAGACAACACTCCCTGTAGGTTCAGATTATGCCCTGCTGTATGGCCCTATTATTTTCAACATAATGTGCAAAAGCAGCTGCAGCTGCAGCTGATCTGCTGGGATACACAAAGTGTAATTAATGTAGTTTAACCAGTTCATTTTCTGTACTCATTCTTACATTCCCCATTTTTGTCTCTAGATGATCAAAGTATGTGCATGTAGTTGTGAATAATTCAGCAGAGATACAGATTTACAACATTATCTGCTTATAAATCATGCATACCAGAATATTAATCACACCCACGCCCTGGGCACAAGAGCAAGTTTAATCACCTTTTATCTGCCTGGTGTCTGCCACAGGCAGATTACTCAGAACTGTATGGTGGGGAACCTGTGCTGCAACAGCACACTGTGGTTGCTTCTCCAAGGTGCATGTTGTTGCTCGTGAAGATGCCATAAATTCTACAGCCATACCAACCACCCGCACAGAGCCATTTCAGAGTACACACAAGCTGCATTCATTTAATGGGCTGTTATTTAGCTACAGCTGGGGAGAGTATAAGAAAACCGGGGCAGGATATGTAAGTGACTGTAACTTCTGTAACTTGTAAGGCAGGGTTTGTTTTTGTGGATCCCTCAGCAGCAACAGAAAATGAAAATACATAAGAAGGCAAATGGTATTATTAGTTTTATCATTGAGAGAAAATAGGAAGACTGTGTCACTGCAAGATATATTTTGAGACATGTTGGTTTTATGCCCACTAGACAAACCTGTCTAATTAATTGACTTTCTTTTTTCTAAAGGCTCATACCTAATTCCTTCTTCTACAATTGAACCAACAAGTTGTGCAAACCTAGGAAGCCTTTGTCAAGGTAAGAAACTCAGGTCATTTTCACAGTCTCATCTTTGTTAAATCTTTATTTTTCTTGATATTTTATTTTATTCCACTTCTTTCTTATTTCCTATTTTCTGCTTTTTATATTTTTGTTTTTTTTGATGAAAGTCTGAATTGCAATAAGAAATAGTAAGGAAAGAAACACCTTAGACTCATCAAAAGTGTGGGTGTCATGTATATACAATATGTAGAAAAAATGTGATCGTTCCCTTGATAATATATTTTCCAAATAATCTCTGTTATATCAAAACTGCATTAATTTTAGTTGTCTCTTCACATCTTTTCATCCTGCACATTTTGACAGTAAATTATTAACCAGGATAAGAAATAGGTACATCTGTAAACAAGAAATAAACATATGTAAATAAAGCAACTTTTAGGCTATTTTGAGGCTAGATACTTTGAGATTAGCAGGAGACAAGTTAACATTGGACTGCAAAATCCAGCAGCTAACAGTTAATAAAAGACTTTGTTGCAGCAACTAGTGATGGTTAAATAGTGTCAAAACCACCACATTCATTAGGTCTTTCAAAAGGTCAGCTCAGTGGAATGCAAGGAGGAGCTGAACCCTAAAGATTTCCATGCCTTGTGAATCATTGCACATACAAGGATAGTTAATTCTTTCCACTCTGCTTAGTGGCTGAAGTTCTATAAAAATGAACAGGAACAACATCAGCCCATTTCCACAATACACTCATGAACACAGACCTGCTCGTGAGGTGACATGTTAAACGTTAATCACAGCAGCAGCTGCATCAAAAATATGTCATGCTCTGTAACCCATTTCAAGCTGTGTGATAGAAGATAGAGGCAGCAGAGAATAAAATATAAAAGGGAGAGGAAGTCTTGGAACTCCTTCTAACCCAACATTTGCAAGTAAGTCAGATTTAGTTTAAAGATAAAAAGAGAAATGCACTCTGCTTGAGAAGCCAGTAAGAGATCTGTGATAGTCTCCAGTCTACTTCTCCCAGTTGTTCCCATGATTTAGTTTAGGGACTTGGAGGTCTCCATAGAGAAAGTGAAATGCCAGTTCTGTTTATAATTAGATTTCAAACAGCAATATTCAGTGATCAGACTCACAAACTGTGAGTTATGCAAACTCACAATATGTTCTAAATATCGATACCCAAATACCTTACCAAAAAATTATTCAGTATTACTCTTTTTCTATGGGAAGAGGTAATACAGCCATTGTATACAGATATTTGTCTATTCTCTTGGAAGAACTCAGAGAGATTTCATATATCAAAATGGCATGGTGTGAAAGGAGAGAGAATATCTAATGTTAAATCACCTAATAGGGTTGTAGAAATAGACAAACACTTTCAGACAAACAACTTTGAAGAACATATAGTTTCTAATAAAAGATGTTCTCTTTCAAGCTTGCCTTCCTTAAATTCTCAGATCACCACATTTTCAACAAACCTTTTGAGTACTTTTCAACAGGGTAACTGTCTCCTTCTCCAAAGAGTGTTTCGTCAAGTGTCCCTGGCTTTGTGTTAGTTACTTTGAAAGTGGTGCATCAGATTTATGTTGTTCATCACCATCTTCATCTTCATCATCATCAGCACCATAATGTAAATCATAAAAAGATGTCTGTATTGATTTCAGCACTGCAGACTTATTTTAAGCTGAGAGTCCACTGTGGATTCCTTTTTAGTTAGTTTGTTTGTTGTATGTTGTGCAACAGCACCAGTAACAATGTTTGTGCTTGCCATCATTATGTCAGAGCTGTTTTCTTCATTGTGTCTAGCAAATATTTTCATTCATTGGAAGATACCTTCTTTAACAGTGTTGGCTGGAACACACAATCAGCAAGAAGCCTTAAAACTTGTTTCTCAGAAAATATAGCCCTGAAGTTACTTGTAAGAACACCTTTTTTATATAACAGCGTGTGACTTTCTGTTCTCCCTTTCCCAGTTAGAACCCCTGTGTACCAACTCTTCTCTTTTCTCAATTTTCTTATTTCACTGAAACTTGAACGTAAACCCATTCCCTAAGCTGAGGCCTGAGTTTATGAATTTTAGACTCAAAATGTTAAATGCAGTAACCTAACAAAAAATCAAAAGTTCAATTTCTTAGTTAAAATACGATTGCTTAACCTTTCCAGGTTGATTCTTGGTCAAAATCTATAAAAGATGTATTACACTGTGAGGTTATATTTCACAAATCTTCACATTTAAAAAGAGTTTTCAGGAAAAGAAGAAAGCTGTCGGTGACAGGATTTACATTCCTGGGACTTTCTAGATAAATTATTTTCCAAACTATTTGAAAATTCAGTGGTGTGATTTTGAAGAGCTTTGTTCCTCTAGAGTGTGTACACTCCCTGTCTTCAGTGAGGGGAATTTGAAGTTTTGACTTCTCACTCTGAATATGAGAAACATTCTAGCTAGTTCTCCTGGGAAACATTTTCCAGTGTTGTGTAGGATGACTCCTGTTAGTGTCACTGGGAAGAGTACAACTAAGATCCTACATGAAGCTTTTAAAATATGTATTCCACTCCAGTTATTCCAAGTCTGATTTCAATTCTTTTCATTATATAGAGTTCACATGAGGTAATGAGAACCTTAAATGGGTGTTTCAGTTTCACATTTCTTTGTCATCCTCATTCCCTGAGTAGGGACAATTATTCTTTCTAAGTGCATGCATCTTCGAACTTGTAAGATCTGTTTTCTGGTCTTTACACAGCTGTTTGGATCTGAAGCTCTCATAAGAGGATTTTGAATTTATGAAATCCGTACAGGACTGATCTTGCAATCCTTCCACTGGCAAACCTCCCACTGAAGTCAGTGAAAGTAAAGATTGCAGTTCATGTCCATTTGTCACTTTGAACAGAAAACAATGTTTAACATGTATGTCACTGTGTGTAGATGGTTTCATTTTACATTGTCATGAGTTGTTCCCATTTTGTCTTACCTCATTAACATTCATATTTCATTCAAATTCACCTCTTTCTCATCTTTATTACCAGCTACTGTAAATGCTACTACTCCTACACCACCCACTGTCACCACTAACATGCCTGATACTAATAGAACCGATAAGCCAAACAATGGTAAGAAATCCTGTGTTACATTATTCCTTGTACTGTCTCTAGAGCAAATTTATTGTTTTTTAAGATGTGTTTTTCATAGTATAATGTAAAGGGTCATGCCTCAGTTCTGATCTCATTTACAATGAAATCAATCACGAGTAACTTCACTGGACTTGCCCTTGCAAGAACAGTGTAAATAAGAACAGAACCAAACTCAGTGTTTATTTGTATCATGTTTACCTGGTTCCCATATGAAAGGGACTAACTTTGTGTCACCCATTGTACTTACCCATGCAAAGAACAGGGGAAGGCAAAGGTGTTTTTAAAAAGGGACTGAAAAGAAGCATGCTTTTGAAATGTTTTAACACTGCAGATTATCAGGCGTTGTGTAGCTACCGCTCCTGCTGCAAGGGTGCTGGTATGCTGGGATTGTCTGTTCCTCACTGGTAACACAGGGAAGCCAAGTGGAATCATTCCTATGGAGCAAAGCCACTTCCACTGAGTCAACAGGAATCTTTCCACTGACTTCAATAAGAGCTGGATCAGACTCTACTAGGGAAAATGTTGACAGTATCAGATATCATTTACTTTTCTTTAGAAAGATTAAGGGAAAAAATAAGGTAGTAAATGAGCCTATTATTAGCACAGAAAAAAAAAAAGGGGGTGGAGGGGATTTCCTTGATTTCTTTTAAGGTTGTCCCAAATCTGATATCACTGTCTCCTGGAGACTGAGTATCACTTTGTGAGGAACTACTAAAATATTTATTATTATTTTTAAAGATAGTTTTTAAACATTAATAACGTTACAGAAATAGTTTTCTGCAATTTTCATATGAGGCTAAAAGATCTTTTTACCAAAGATTTTGTGTTCTCCCAAGAAGGAAATTAGTAGTTGTTGGGTTGGTAGGTTGGTTGGTTGGTTGTTCTTTTGGGGTGGTGTTGGTGTTTTTGGTTTTGTTTTCCAAGTGCATCAGTTGTTACTGTAGGATTTTACATTCCTGGAGTGCTTTTTTCTCTTGGCAAATCACCTCTTGTATATTTGGCAGTCAGGCAGTATAGCAGACAATGTGAAAGAATTTATCTGAATTCATCCTATTTGGATCTAAGCAGAAGAAAGAAGAAAATCTTGAAACTTATTTCCAAATTGTGCCTTTTCTTTTTGTGGAGCCGTTCACTCCATGTTCACTATGAACAGTTAACTTTGATTTTTGGAGATACAGTAGGACTGAACATCCTGTTAATGTTAGTGCAAATGAAAAATGGACAACTAAGTTCTTTCTTTACTTTGAAATTGCCAAGAGAAAGCAGGAAGACTAAGAAAAGTAGGCCAAATTCATTTATAGTAGAAGCAAGAAAAACTTCCAGCTAAGTGGCATAATCTTCCACTGATGGTAAGTCATTTTTTAGACCCAGAGAAGACAGCCAAGAACAGACAGTTAGGTTGCATGTATTTTCCTTAATCTGTTAACTATATGGCTTACTACACACAGACCTGCAGGAATTCAGACTTCCTGCTACAGTTATCTTCAGAATGAAGAGAAATTCACCCGATTCCTCCCATTCACGACCACAAAGGCAGCAAGAGTCTAAGATAGAAGGGATAAAAACCATAGGAATTATCTCTACCCCTATTATTTGGCCAGTAAAACAAAGACCTCTCCATTTCAGTAAAAACTCAGCAGATGAAAATCCGGAGAGAAAAAACATGTACGGTGTATTTCATCCAACTGTGTCAACATCAGCTGCCTATGAGGAGACCAGCAATGGTACCTTGGCTGTTTTTTCAGAAAAAATCAAGCTAGATAACACTGTGATGCATCAGTTACAACATGAAAATATTCTGAATGATTCTAGAATTTCATTTCATGGCACTTATGATACAGCAGGTGCTGTTACAGATCCTTCTGTGAATGCAGCAGTTCCTTTTCTTCAAAACAGAAGTCTTACTGCAGAGGCAACATGGACTCTGGCAAATGGGCTAGGTTATGCTGACTCAGAGTCACCATTCCACTCTGCTGTTAGCAGAAGCACTGCTTATGAACACAGAAAAGAAGCCCTGTGGATTCCATCTTCCAGCAATAGCAAGTCCAGTTTCATACATCTAAATCATGTCTTGGAGCCTGAGAGTTGGTGGAGTGAGACTGTTTTTCACCATCATATCACCTCTGACTTTCAAGAAGAGAGATTTAATTCTCTTGCTAGCTTATCTGTATCACCTTTAAGGGAGAAACTGTCATTCCAAAAAAGTAGAATAGACTTGCTAGATTTTTCACCTCGCAATATTTACCCAGAAATGACAGAAGGCAACACTAATAGGAAACCTGTTTCCGTGTTAGCAGCAAGCAGTGAATTTCAGTTTAGAAATTCTATGTACACTAAGGAACCTTACTCAGGAGGTATTACAAATTTAAACTCTGTGGAGGTTCCACATGCAAACCCAACAGCATTTTTTCACAACATGAAAAAAACATATACAGCAATTATGCCCAACATACAACTGACAAATTCAATCACAGGATCCAGTAGAAAACAACTAGTGTCAGCACTTCTGGTAGGAATAAGCAGGACAAACTCAGCATTTAATCATGTTGAAACAACACTGCCTCTTTATCAACAATCTGGTATGTATTCAGACAGTGACAGCATATTTATGTCTAATAGTGATTACTGGTCTCATTATTTAAAATATTCAGTGTATTTTCAAAAGGAAATGATAAGTGAGACCCTCAGAAATGCAGCACTGGAGAGCAATTTAGATGCATTTCATAATAATAATCAAAATGAAGATTCAGATTTTTCCATATTAGAGACAGACAATATCAACAGAGTTGGCAACTCGTGGGAACCAGGTTACTTGGATTTTCTGACAAAATATGTAGACATATCCCCTTCTTTAACAGCCAGTTTCTGGACTGTTTCCTATCACTTGAAAGAAGTGTCTCAAGCATTTTCTGGGGAGCCATCAGAAAATCAGTGGCTCTCATTTAATAAACTGCTTTCTTCCCCAACAGAGAAATTGCCATCCATTAGTTCACCTACTAAGCCTGACAGTATCTCTGAGGAAACTTTTACAATTAGATTATTAGATCATGGAGCCAAAGAAATTAACTTCTCTAGCCATGCATCAACTTTGGAAAGACAGATATTTAGTTTATTTGTTCTGGGCCTTTCAAAGAGAATTTCAGAAAGTAATGAGAAGACAATATCACAGATGCAGTCAAAAACAAACTTTGCAAACCTAACCATATCTTCCAATGATGCCTTTTACTTTGCTTTTCCTTTCTCTTCCCTCAAATCACCTTTGAGTCAACACTCTGTACAGATAAGTCCCTTTGACAAGGCACTTGCAAACTCTACAAAAAAAATAGTGGTCTTTGATAGTTTAAACATGCAAGTTGGCACTGACATAGAAAGTGTTAGAACTAACGTGACCATCCTAAATAATAGACAGCAACTTGTTTCTGTCCTTCCAACACATCCAGGAACCCACCCTTCATGTTCAAGGGATAGCCAGACTGCTTTCTTGGTAAATACACCAGTTAATAGTTTCATAAACAGTACAAGAACACATGGATCATTGCAGTCTCAAAACATTTTGAAGAGTGATGAAGTATCAAATACTATTGATAATGCAAGAAGTGAAGTTCAAATGGATGCAGCTATTTTTTTAAAAAGCAATGATTCAGCAAGTTCTGACTTCCTTACAACAACACTGTCTTTGGAATTGAGGCACACTTTTCATTCAGAATCAAAATTCAAACTCAGTGTACCTCTTAACAGCTACTCCACACCTCCGCTCCCACAAAGTTTTCAGAACCACCTTGATACAATTTCTCCAAGCCTGATCCCTGGACAGGATGTAGCAGAGTTAAGCTTACCAACAACACCAGTAACACCAAGTCAACTAACTTTCTTAGGACAAAACTTCCTTGAAAATCAAGGGGATGGTATTGGATACTCTCTGAGGGCAGTAGAACAAGAAATCACTGGTGATAATAAAGAAAAAAGGAATTCTGCTGTTCAGACATCAACTAACAAATCAAGGCTTTCAGATCAGGATTTAGAAAGAGAAGTATATGGATCCTTCAGCACGTACAGAGGAAGAATGTCTTCTCTGAATATTGGTAGTACTCATGTCTTGGATTTTGAAAATGTTAATTATGGACACTTTGCAAACTTCTCTTCTCTTCTGGCACTATCAAGAACTGCAGTGATGAATGATACAATGCTTTTGTCCTCTTCATATAGTGGAATTATTATTCAGCAAAAAGAGACCATCCTGAAGCATATTCTAATGACACCTGGAGCAGTAATCCATCATTCTTACATACATTCTCAAATGCCAGTTTCTCCTGTAATGTACCATCAATCATCGGGTTTGGCACATATTTATTCCTTGGCCAACTTTTCAACCGGGAAAAGCCAAAATACCACCTCTTACCCACCACCGAATCAACTTACTGGCAATCCCACAGTCTTATTATCTTGTTTAAACTCCACTGAACTGGGCTGTCTATGTCGACCTGAGGTCAACTACAGTATGTTAAGTTAGATGTAGAAAAAAAGAAAAAATAGCTCATCTTATCTATTAGTTTTTCTGCTGATAGACTAAACATAGAAATAGCTAAATTTTATTCTTTAGATATAGATCCATTTAGAATATGAAGATGTTTTAGAATAGTAATTTAATTACAGTAGAAGGGAATTTGTAACATCTTAGTGATAACACGTCATTAACATGTAATTTCTCCTGTCCTCTAAAACTCTCATGAGACTGTGACAATAGTAGATTGAGTTGCTATGTATTTTATGCATTTTTAAGACATTTCATTATTATAATTTTATGGATGTTTTTCACTTATGGTATTCATATATTTCTGAGGACTTATTTTTCAAAATGAAAGATTTTACAAAACAAGCTCTTGTATAATTTGGCTAACAGAAATTAAAAGAATAATCATGATATTTCATTGATCATTATATTTTTATATTTGGGTGTGGGGAGAATTGTTCTTCCAGCCTCTTTTTTCCTCTTTTTTTCAAATTATCTTTGGCTAATTTTAATCAATTTTCTGCCCATAAAAAATATTTATTTTTCATTTAGCATTTTGAGATGGGATTTCCACTGTTTAACTGTAGCGAGAAATAATTCTTAGTTTTCACTATCTGTGACTGCAGTCTCCTGAGAGTGTTTCAAAATGTAGATTAGTTCTTTGTTCTTGTTCTTTTTTTTTCCTCATTAAAACATGCTTTGGGTCACCATCTGGTGGAGATCTTAAAGCTATTGACTATTCTTTGTAGATTCTAAGTTTGATTTTAAACGTATTTTGCATATTTCTACACTAAGGTGATTTTTTCCATATATATAATTATATAAACGAAACTATAATTATATATATGAGCATATATGAATTTATGAGAATATATATAATGCACAATTTCTACATATGTGTATCTATGCAGCACATATAAGAGTACATTATACATATAAAATTGAATATATGTATATAAGGACTAGACTTTTGTCTAGTCCTTATATTTTTTTATATTGAATATATGTATACAAGGACTAGACTTTATATATACATATAAATCTCCATCTTAATTGTGTTTTCAATTTGCCCAAAGTCCATTTCTCTACTTCAAAAGTCAAGACTTAATTTTTATGCTTTAAAAAAAATATATATATATTAAGAAAAAAAAATAATTGAAACTATAATAGCAATAATAAAAAACAAATGGCATTTTTATATTAAACTGCACAACAAATATGCGTGTTTGCTGTTTTAAGGGAGGGGAAAAAGACGATCAATCAAAAATCAAATTCATACTACTCATATTTAAAATTTAATCCCAGCTTACTGAAGAAGGTAACGGGTAAAGCATCTTCCTGCAAGAAACTAATTATTTACTACTTTATTGAAAAATATTTTTAATACTTATCTCAGTGAGACTATTATTAGTTCCATAATGAAGAGAAAAAATACCCAAGCCAGCTCGTGAATAGGATAGTAACCAATATGCTCAATGAAATCAGAAAATACTAAGATTCCTCAGATAATTTTATTTTAAGCTCTTGTAAAATACTTATCTACAAACTTGTAAAATGATTAAATTTGCTCCACATGTATAAAACTAGAATAAAAGGTTTGGATTTTTGTTTTGTTTTGTTTTGATCTAAACTTAGAAAGAGCAATTTCTTTCCAGTCAAGAGACAAAAAGAGATTTCTGTATAATTGTTTTAATGTCTTGTTCTGTTCAATGTAGTGTCTCTGTAATAGTTACATAAGGTTTATGTAAATGCATGTGTTCTGTGGTCAAGATCCACAACTACATTCGGTCACAGCACTGAAACAAATGATACCACATGTGTGCATACATGTGACCGAATTGATGCAGAAGTTCTTACACCCCCACATGCATCTTGGAATATTTTCTCCATCAAAAGTGGACAGAATTTTTAGTAATGTAATGAAAAAATTTTACCCTATGAAAGGTGAAAGTGGTTAACAGAGAGCATAACTATGAGATTTGGTATTTATTAGATGTGAAATCTTGTGACAAAAATGTTGTCTACCAGCTCATGAGCTTAAAGAGAATTTATATTTGCCTAGTCCTATTTCAAAACAATTTTACTTAATACAAAATTTCTCCATGCCAAGTGTTACACATTTTGAGATTGAAAGATGGTTTGTTCAGCTGCCAGTTTTATAAAGCTAACAGTTTATTTTTTATTTATTTTTTACTATCCCAGACCTGAGAGCAAAGGATAGGCTGTGAAAACATAAACTGGATAGGGCTTCTCCCTCATAATTCTGTTCTCAGTGATCTTGTGACTTTTAATTTATGAGCTTTATCTGTTCTCACAAAGTTTTAAGTCAAATCTACAATGGTTGTTTCTGGATTATATCAATATGACTGTGCCTGTGATTTATCCGTGTTACAGACTTCAGTAATTTTGATTGTTTTAAATTCATGACACTTTCATGATCTTGTTTTTACGTACTCCACTAAAGGTATATGCAGAATACTACTTAAATGTCTTATCTCTGAATTTCCATGTCACATTTCAAGTGTCCCTAAAAATATGGAGAGGGAGGGAATTCTTGTTGATAGGACTAGTGAGAATGGATCCAAGCCTGCAGGGCTTGTTCACTCCAGACTCACACAATATCAAGAACTTGAGGTGTCTGTGCATCTAGGGTTCAGCCCAGTCTTTAGATTCATCATGGAATTAAAGTCTCACATTATTAAAAATGTAATTTTTCTCAGCTTTCTAAAATGATTATGCTGTTTTTAATGGACAGGTGGATTATTCTACAGGATATCTATAACTGTCTTTTGTTTGAACTCCAACTCGGAATCAAAAGTGCATGATATGGTTGCAACATGGGTAAGTTAAGTTTTCTTTCTTACATTGTGGAGTTATTAATTAGGGCCTAATTTGGGCATTTAGTCACTATGTTTTTTTGAAAATTTTGAGGTTTGAAATGTCTCTACTATACCAGCCAGGCATCTTAAGAATTGTAGATACTAGCTGAGATTTTGGAAAGTAGGGGGAAATTGGAATTGTCCACTGAATGACATATATGCCTAAGTTCCTACATTACTACACAGAGCAAAAATTTCATCCCCAAATACTAATGTGGTTTTGAAGTTATACTGTGATAGATATAACAATAAACAGGCCATGTTCATTTGCGTGAGGCAATACACTTTTCTAATTTAGCTCAATATCTTCTGCTTTAGAAATCTTCTCCTATAGGTCAGTCGTTGCAGTTTCTAGTAGCCATAGTTTTTCAGTCCATTTTAGTAGATGTAAGCTCCTTCCTTGGCCCTCTAGAGGACTGTTGAAGTGCCTGCCTCTGAGAATTTCTTCCATATGAATAGAGATATTCTCTGTTCTGTTTTGACAATTCACATAATGGCACTCACAAGTCTGCAAGTTGTCTTTCTACCAACTACTCACATGAAAATGTGATGTCAAAAACATATGGCATTTATTCATTATTCGTCTATAATAAACCTACAGCCTTCCAGCTAAGGAAGAGAAGCCATCCATAAGTTTCCTATGAACCAGAAAGGCAGTCATTTACAACAGCTCTTAGCAGCAGTATCCACGTGAAGTATGTAGATGCCAGAGCCAAAGATTCTCAAAAGGTGTCATTTGGCCCTGGCAGAGCATGCCACAGTTTCTCCAGAGGGGAAGTCTGAGCAGTCATTGCCAACTCCAAATAAGAAGAAAAGTCTGAAATAAAGGTCATCAAAGGATGTAGACTTTTAGGTGAAAACTGACCCTGAATTCTTGTCAGGATTTGTTTTCTAATCTATTTTTTTAATGACAATTTAAGATGTAGAGGAAGAAAAGGAAAAGTTCCACATCCTGTGCACTCACCTATTCACTGTAATGACCTTGCAGAGATTTAGAGATATCCTTGTCTCAAAAAAAAAAAACAAAAAAAACAAAAAAAAACAAAAAAAAACTAATAAATCAACACACCTAATAAATCTTTCACTACCAATTGTACATCCAATATAACAATCACCTCACTGTCATGGGAGCATGTTCACTTTGCTTTGAAAAATCGAAGGGAATTTCTCAAGGGAAAGAGAGGTGAAATTCTAACTGTTTTAAACAACAAAGAGCCCCTATTAACATCATACCACTCCTGTGATCAATGTTTTCCTGTTTTTCAGCTAAACCAAACTTTCCAGAACTGGAATTACACTGTGTATGTGGTCAATATCAGGTAAATGAAGGAGAAGGATGTTTATACCACATTTCTTTCTGCAAATTAACCGACCCTAATTAATGTTTATGTCCTTGATAGCATCCAACCTGGCTCCGTAAAAGAGGGAGTAAGAGAAAAAAGAAGCATCGGTAACAAAAGGTAACATCTTTAAAGAATTTTTATTGATAGAGTCAACAGCTGGTATTACAAGTGGTATAGTTTTATTGCCTATTATTATATGTTGCTAGTCTAAGTATATGACTGATGGGAAGTTGAGTGCTCTGGGTGTGCTCACAAGCCTCATACTGGTTATCATGTTTGTTTTGGTTTAAACCTACTGAGCTTCTTTGAACCTTAACAGATCATTTTTCAGAGCTCAGGTTTCATCTGCCACAAAACTGAATATACTTATGTGTGTTATGTCACATTCAGCTTTCTTCAGCAGCAGGTTCTGGTACACTGGCACTGCATTTATTCTCTTGAACCAGAGCCTTTTGAGCTAATAGACATCTTACTAGATGCAAAACACTGAAAAATCATGCTAGAATTGAAAGCCAAACTAGTGTGAGTTAAACTATTTACCATATGCTCTCATTTCCTGACTTCTGCTGGGCTTGGAGGCACCAGCATTGGGACAGTCTCAAAGGCAGCCAGAGAAAGATGGGTCACACCCCCTGAAAATTGAGCCTCAGGGGATTTCTTTGAAAGCAGCAGGCTACTCAGGGACAGATGGGCAGGGAGTGACTCTTAGCACCAAATTAAAGAGAGGAAACCAAAACATAATTAGTCTTGTGAGGGAGGGGGAACAAGTGGGTATAGGACATATCTGTTTGCAGTGTAGGCAAAAGTCCTGCAGGCAAGGACTTCAACTGCTCACTCTTGAGATTTGCCAGTTGAGCTTTTTAATTTCATAGATAGACTAGGATTCCCAGTTTACCATGAGGAAGTAACCAATTCTTCCAGTTTTCTACAGAGTTTACCTAAACATTAAAGGATTTGTGAATGGTACTGTCTCCTTCCCACATACTGAAACCAGAAAGACAGCTTTTATTGGCGAAAAAACATTTAGCTGGTATAGTGTAAACCCAGTCTCTAAAAGGGCTATTTTGCTGCTTGAGCTACATTTACAGTAGGGTGTAGTAATGTGGCTGTGATATTTTTTTTTCATATTACCAAATGATACAGTTACGCCAGCAAAACCTTTGAAGTTCATACCATGCTTTAGGTCTTACTAACAATCCAAGGCTGCTGGGGAATGGAAATTTTTTCCCATTCTTATTTCTGAGTCTTTTACAAGACTAGCAGCCCAGCTTGTCAGCATCTGATCTCCCCCAGACTGCACATGTGCTCTCCTCTTATGTCACACTTCTGTCACTCCATCCTGTGCATTTTGTTTCTTCTTCCTGGTGTATTAAAAAAGGTGGTGAAGAGAGAAATATGTAGCACATTAAAACACACAAAGTATGTCAGTTCCATATCTGACCATGTCTGTTGTATATATGTAACATAACAATAATCGCATTCTACTATATCGTTCACCATATGTAGTTTCAGAGGCAAAGGAGTTATGTGTTCTTAATAGGTCATAATTTTTTTTCAGAGAAGGCCTGGGCTAGTGAGAAAGTCAAATACTAGTCTTCTCATGGGCTCTATTGCAATTTGTGTCAAGGCCAGATAGTGCTCTGTCATCATTCTGAATAATTTAGTATAAATACTAATCATGCCACATAAGATAGTACTGTTCTACAAATAATCATGGTCATTGTGCTGTGCATATCTTATTGGAAAATAAAATAAAAATAAAAAATAAAAAAGAGAGAGAGAGAGAGAGCAAGAGAAAGAAAAGTAGAAAAGTTAAGATTCTGCCCAAACTAGTAATTCAGTTCAAGTGAACTCTTTTCTTCTACTTCCACCAGATCATTGCTTTCATGATGCTTTGTTAAGTTTTCCACTTTCTTGGGTTTGTCCTGGGTAAGATCCTAAGGAAATCCTACAACATGACAAAGCAACATTTTGGGGAATAAAAAGTTAGCCGACTGCAAGTTGGAAGTTTTTAATACCTAATGGACATAATGTTTCTTTCTTACTAGTCAGATGATCCACTGAAATGCGATGGCTGAGTTCTTTCATATAACTTGCTTACAGTGTGGTTTCAAACAGTTTTTATTAAATATTCCTATAAATTATTTCCATGAATAGTTGTGCAATGTTTTTCTTATTTCTCTGTTATGGATAGTCAAGAATAAATCTCACAGTTTTAGACACTCCACTATTTCCGTTCATTTTTCCCTTCATATCTTAGACCATTTTTCATCATATTCATCTGAACAGAATTTCACTCCACAGTCAAAACTTCAAACATAACCCCTAAGCATCATAGCCTTAACTTATTTTTTATAATTTACAGCAGTAATCATATTAGATTAACTCACTAAACCTTCTCTCTCATCTTCTCTGAATTTTGCACAAGATCGTAGTCTTCATCTTTCTAGGGTAGTAGCACAATTCTTTAAATAGCTCTTAGAGAAATTTTCCCTCTCTTTACATTAATTCAAATTCTTGTTGTTCAGATCTCATCTTTTTACCTTACCTTTTGGATTAGCATTCAATACAACAGTTTAAGAAAACAACTCAACAAAATTTTTCCCAAGTTTTCTTTCAATTTTACTCAACTTCAACCCTTATTTGCTACACTGCTGTCTTGCCAAGGAAATTCTGTTATCAGTAACCACACCTAGTGAAAGAGGAAGTCATTAGAGAGAATGATTCAGAGGAGAAATAGAAGCTGAAAGTGGGAGGTAGGAAGCTTTTTTTTTTTTTTTCATGGTAAAAATAGGTTTTTTCCAAATGAAATTTTAAATTGTACTGCATTCTAGAGAAGACCAAAACAAAATAATAATATGGAAACAGATTGTTATTCTTTCATTGCTGAGTTATGCACTGCAGAAATCCAAAGTACCGTGTGCTTAGTATGCGTTAATGTACCTGGTGATGAGAGACAGAGTGCCAAGTCCAAAAGTGCACACTATTATCATCATCTTTAACACCATAAGATCTCTGTGTGACATCAGTGTCTCAAGTTAATATTTTGGGAGATCATTAACTATATTAATAGACAGAATTTTGTCACAACTATACTTTAATTTGTGTTTGTGTTTATTTTCTTCCTCTGGTCATGCTGTTTCTGTCTCTTAATGAGAGAGCACCTCTTCAATATAAAGTAGAAAGTAGATCTGAGTAGGATATGTGCGTTCCTGTTTGTTTGTCCCCCATGATTTAGCACAAACCTTTGAAAGTGACACCAATTCGTGATTTTTATGTAGATAAATTATAAATGTGTTTGTTTATTTCATTAATTGACACTTTTATGACACTGCAGTGCTGTCTGTCATATCCTTCTGCGACTGCTGCTGCTTTTCTCAGAAGGGTCCTACTGATCCTGGGTGTTGTCAGATGACTAATAATTGGGCTGCCTCAGTAGAAGAATTGGTCTTTATTAAGCAGCTCAGCTCCCCTGCTTCTCCTTCTTTTATTTTGCAAACAGTTTTGAGAATTCAAGTCCCATTTCATTTATAATCTTTACTCCTCTTAATATACAAATAAGTTTATGTTTTCAGTAGCTTCCACTATTCAATTGTCATATTTTTGGCCATAATTTCCCATGTTTAGCTGTTTCCTTTATGTGAAAAACACTAATGTTACTATTGTAAAACAATTCATCCAAATTAAAAATCACAGTGTTAGCAATCAGTTTAAAGACCACTCACTAAACTTAAAAAGAAATCTATTCTCTTAGAAATGAAAATAAAGAGGAAAGCAGGAAATCTGAGGTACACATAGTCCTCCTTTTTGAAGTCCGTGGGAGTTTTGAAAAAAGGGTCAGTAAAGCAGATTCAGGCTCCTGCATGCTGTGTTCTCAGCTGCCATGTTGCTTAATGGAAAGTTCAATGCACTTGGATAAAACTTAAGCTAATTAGATTGTGTAATAGTTTTAGACAAGAGTTAGCAACATCAGAGCAACATTTGCTGTTCTGGTCTGAAGTCTTTTTATTGAGTAAAGTTAAATGGACAAAGTGTTAGGCTTTAGCATTTTTTGTAACCACTTCATATTATTCATTATGACAGAATAATGCTACTGTTATTATAAATGAAAACATCTGTGATTCCTATTCCTATTTTTAAAAGTCCTCTTGGTTTCTACTGGTGAGGTTTTAGGAACAACTTGGAACTGGCCCACCTCTTCTACCCCTGACTTTAACTTCAGTGTTACCAACTGAACGGGCAGCTTACTCCACAGCTCCCTGCTGGCATCTTGTATCAGTGACATGTAAAGAAAGCCTTTGTCATAGACAGAAGAGTTCTGGAATTCAACCTGAGTGACTGAAGAATGATTTCTCCTTAGAATTCTGCTGAAGCTGCCTTGTCTTGATTCAGTTTCCACTGACTTTAACTGGGTTTAGTATTGGACTGACATTGTCAGATGCCATTTTTAAGAAAGTAATGGATTGACTTTTTCTGGGGGGGAAAGGGATTTCCTTTGTTATTTTGGAACATAACCAAAAAATTTCTTCTGCCATGACCAGCTGTTGAACCATGAGGGGTTCTATTCTAGCCTTCTCTTTGCCTTCCTGCTACATTCCCTTATAAAGAACAGTCTTCATACCAAATCTTGACATATTTTAAATGCCTTCTGTTGAAAAGCTGTGGCTGTTAGTATTCCTGTACCAGTTCTTCAAGGAGAAGCGTGGCCCAGAGTCTCAGGGACAGGAGCAGAGATTCCTGCGATCATGTTGCTTGCAGCGGTGTTCTGCTGTTAAAAGGAAAACTTAAGATACCTTTATTCTTAATAGTCCCCAAAATAGCTGTAATTTTTTGTTTTCTGTCCTAAGGTCTCAGATTGTGTATCTTTTCTATAGCATCAGCTTCTTCTGAGAAACAAACATCTTCATCCTTGGCATTGTTTTGAAAGTGTCTCTTATGCCCAGTATTCTTTTTCACTCTCTATTCTGAAAATGGTATCATGTCAAAAAATTATCCACAATATAGATGCTTTTGCAGAATGCTTTTAACTTCTCTATATTTGTGCTGTAGGTTATTTTGTTGCCAGAAATGAGCCCAATATTCCTGACAGGAATGCTTTTCCAGATTCCATTATGGATTTCAGTAGCAGACTTTTCATATTTCTTTCTGTGTCATTCTGCATATTATCTAACATCTCTGCTGCTTGTTTTACATCCTCACTGAGTAACTTATGCAAGAGTCAGCTGTTTTTCTGGCTGTCCAGTTAATGTTCAGAAGTCAGCAGTGTTTACAAGTAACCAGCTGTGTAGGCCTACCTGTGCTGATGATCTTGAATTATACCCACCTATCCCTGGAGGTCTTTAAAAGACGTTTAGATGTAGAGCTTAGGGATATGGTTTAGTGGGGACTGTTAGTGTTAGCTCAGAGGTTGGACTCGATGATCTTGAGGTCTCTTCCAACCTAGAAATTCTGTGATTCTGTGATCTCTTCTTATCTTCAAAGCCAAAATAACAGCAAGATTTGTAAAGAATATAATACCGACTTTTTTTTTTTAATATATCTGTGTCATTAGGCAAATTTCCACTTTAATTCAGAGTCCCTGAGAATTTAGGTGCTTTAAAAATTATTTTTTGTACTTTAAATCAAATAACATTAACAATGAAACAAATTAGTAGTGATTTGCTTGAACAATTTGACCACCACAATTAGTTCAGCTCATCTAGCACAACCAAAATAAGAGCAGAAACATGCACTGCTAATTATCAGCCAGGTATCTGCAGGTATGAGTCTGTGCTGTGCAGCTCGCCTGGTTCATTGCTAATCCTTTCTCCAAGCTCCTTGCACTGTGTAGCAGCAAGAGCACAACCCATGTGTAGGCACACTGTCCTGGAATAGCTCTGAGTCACACTGCCCGAGAAGAAAGCTGCCTTTGTGGCAGGCGCCACGGCAGTGCAGGCATCCCCACCATCCCCCGTGCCCCCGGTCTGGGTTCAGCAACAGCAGCCTCCTCTCTCCAAGCCAGCGTAGCTCAGTGGGCCAAGGCAAAGCGAGACAGACACTGGTCTTCCTGGCTTTCCTTGCTCTAGCTGTCACCATTTCACTAAAAGAGAAGAGAGGCATAAATGAGTAGCCCATTTTGTTTACCCACACAGCAGTCCTTTTTTTTTTTTTTTTTTTTTTTTTTGTATTGACAGCAGCAATACTGGCAGTACAAGTTACTGTGGGTGATGTAATTTGTAATTGATTGCTGCTGTGAGAATCCATCTGCTTTCATATGGCACATAACATGGGATGTATGGTTGGCTATATAAAATCCCATGGAAGAAGCACAGCATGCCACTATTGCCTATATTACCATTTATTTAAGCGTGGGCTTGTTTCACAAATTGAGGATTTTGTTCTTCACCATTAAAATGTTTTCTTTTGGGGATCTGAGTGTGACAAAAGTGGAAGGAAGTGCTCAGCTCCATATTGCATCAGCTGTCAAGTTAAAAGGTATTTATTTACTTTGGGAAGCTAGCATGAGTCATTCTGAAAAGTTTATAGAAATTGTTTTCGTCATAAGATGGAACAGGTTTTTATTACATGGTATACTTGACTTGTGCTCTACAAGTTTCTCAAAAAAAAAAAAAAAAAACAAACAAACAACAACAAAAAATAACAGAATGGTTTAACAGATTATTTTTATGAGTTCTTCATAATCAATGCTTTTCCCCACAACTGTTCGAGATAACTGTAACCAGTCCTATCTCATCTATCATTATCCCTATAATTGTTCAAGATAAAGGTAACCAGTCCTACCACATCTATCATTATCCCTTCTGTTTTGTTGCCTTTCTCCCTCTGAGCAGTTACGGGTACTAAATATCATTTTAGTTTGCTGTGAGTACTGCAATAAGCAGCATCGTAGTAGCAGTGACTGCTCACTTATGACTTCTGCTTTGCAGCCAAAGTGCTGAGGTAGGGAGTGGCATCAGTATATTAAGTTTTCCTCTTCTGAAGTAAAGGGAATACATGATTGAAGCCAGAATCTTTTAGGAAAGATGATTAAGTGCCAGGAGACTCTGGGGCTAAAGTACTGGAGGGCTGAAAGTGCTGGCAAATCTCTAGGCAATTTCCATACTTCTGCTAAAAATAAATGTTATAATAAACTGGAGCCTCGTAATATATCTGAGGTATACAGCAAGAGCCTGCTAATGCACATCCACCCTGCTGTTGTTATTGCTGTGTGTTAACTACTCCACTGAGACCAAAGGAATGTTAGAAGGAACTTCATGTATCTGAGAGCAGGTCAGGAGCAACCTGGCCAGGGATAGCTGGAATTTCCCTGCTAAAATACATCTCTAGGTAAAAAAGCCAAGACAGCAGGTAACTCATAGTCACATTTTTATCTTCTCCTTCAGCAACAAGTTAAAAATCAAACAGATATGACAAGAAAGAAGGAAAGGGTACTGATGCTCAAAAGAAAACAAAACTGCCAAACAATGACATGTACATTTCTTTACTTAGGGGTCACATCTGCAACAGTGAAATGTGTGGAGTATTTAGTTCACATTCATGATTTATGAAGGCTTTATGAAGCTTGTTTTTTTGTTGTTGCTTTTGTTTTTCCCTAGACTGGGAGCTTGTTTTCTAATATCAGTTCTTTTAATGCTGTTTCACTAGTAAGAATACTTCAGAATTACTGGTTGGAGGTATGTACTTTTCAACACTGTCTCTGACAGCAAGAGGGTTTAATCCATCATCTAACAGCAACATCTGTATGAAAAGCTGTAGTTTTATACTGCACCACACTAGGCACCTCCAGAAAATGCAAATGTTGGGGGTGGCTCTCTGGAAGATTTTCAGAAATGAAGCACCAGTCTCTATAGGAGGGGGTTCCTGAAATCCCTACCAGTCCATGCCCATACAGCACCCCTGAAGATTTTGTTTCCTATCCTTCTTCAAGCAGGCCACCAGACCCTTTTGCTCACTGCTGCTTCCTTGCAATGGGGGGTCCCCACTGAAAGCAGCTTTGTTTGGTGTGTGCCCTGCTCACTGCATGTGTGCTGGCAGTACTGACACTTCCCAAGCTGCCAGGAACTGCTCGTACACCAGGAAGGTCTGTCTTCATTCAGGCTGCTGGGCATCCACAGGCTAAGATGAAGACAGCCTAAAGAAGGCTTACTTTTTCCTTTTTTCCACATTTTTGCTCCCGTGGAGATCCAATGTTCCATGCTTCAGTGGCGTCACCTCCTACTAGACAGAGCCAAGCAATCCTCTTGGGTACCAACATATTCTGTTCTCCAACATGTGTTTTCTGTGTCCCCAGAGGAAATTTTTCAGCCTTCCACTCTCAGCTTCTTTCCTGTGTCCTGTTAGAACTGCTTTTCTTGTTCATTATTTCCCTTCCAGAGAAACTATGTTTTTGGACAAGGGTGGAGACTGTTTTATTTCTCTCACAGGAAAGAGACTTGGGCACTTTGAACTACTTCTTATGCCCAAGAAAGTAGCAGTGGGCTACAGTACAAAACAACTATTACTGCTCAACCTTGAATTAGTCATCTGAGTAACTAGACTTTTCTAATTAGAACTAAAAGTTTCAGAAGTGTGTTAGGGTGTTTCTCATGCCATCAAAATTTGGGCATCTAAATATTAAGCATCTGTTCTTTATTAGTCTTCTAGCCTTCTTCTGTAGACATTAGAGAGATAGTCCCTCCAGAGGATGACTTGTCCCATCCTGACAAGTTTTCTGAACTGGGAAGAATCAGCTTTTAAGTTCCTAAGCAACCTAAATTGTTTTAATTTAATTTGGAGCCATTTATAACTGGGCATTGGACACTCACAATTAAGAATATGTTTTGCTTTCATCTTTTAATAAATTTTACAGTAATCTAAATCTTCTGAAAATATTTCTTAGCTCTTTTGATGAGCTGCTTCTTTAATGGTAACTGGAGGATTGCATTTCCCAGCCATAAATTCTGTTTGTGTCCCTGAACATACAAAAATAATGATTTACAGATAATGAACAACATTGTCTTGGTGATAGTTACATACTGAGAAAACCAGAGTCTGTCAGATATTTTTAATTCCCCACCTTTGGGCTCTTCTGTTCTGACTCAAACATTTGGACAATTTTCCCTGCAGTTTTGAGGTTTTGGCTCTTCTGGTTTATAATTCTACCAACAACATTAACTTAGAAGAAGAAGAGATCCGACAGAAGCTCATAAGTAATAATAATTCCATACCAGGGGAATATAAACTTCAGACCGTGGAAGTTGATCCAGTGGGTAAGTAGTTTTCAGCTTTGTTACACAACAGATTTCATTTGCTTGTCCAAAAATAAGTATATTCTGTGTCAAAATAATAACGTATTTCCAAATGGTATGGCTATATCAGATTTGGAATTGTCCCTTTAAGCCTCACTGAACCACTCATCTCAGAGAACCATCCTCAAGATATCTCATTTTGAAACAAATATAGATTTACTATTTGTCCAGATTGCTTCAGTCAGTGTTTTGCCATCTGGTTGGGACAATTTCTGCCAGTTGCTTTGGTAGTTTGGTGATAAAGAAGTGTGATATACAGCCAGAGATATTCTGGACCTCCAAGGCCCCTCATGCCCACTCCTCAACCCTTTTTGTTTGTGCTTCTGCCAACTGCTGTCCTTAATGAAAATTTATAAATTTCCTTCTAGCTCTTGTGTATCACCCATCTTTTCCCATTCATTTTCCAGTCAGAGATTGCCCTTCCTTTGGAAGGGAGGAGGGTGAGGCTGGCGGAATGAAAGTGGATGCAGCGTGCTCATTCTGGGCTTTTCCTTCAGCAACAGCAGTATATTTTGTCCCCAGTTGTGAACCCTTCCCTTACCACCACTTTATAGATAACATCAAAGCATTTCATTTGAAGACGTGTGTGCTGCAGAACAGCTGAGAACAAGAAATGGAAGATGTCATATGAGGAAATTTGTAATTAACCCAGATATATTTTTATTTTACAGAAAAATGTTTAGCTGAAGAAAACCCTCCAAACTATTTTTGGCCAGATACTAGACCAACTGTGACTAACTTTACATTTTGCCATGGGAGCTCAGTTCAGATTGCATCAAGAACCTGGTAGGTGGTCAAACACCACAGAAACTAAGAGCTTCAGCTGCAGCTTCCTGGTTATGTTAAACTACATTCTCTGTAATGGATGCCACTAACTGATATCATATTTCAGGAGAAGGATTTTCATGTTGTGAGGGATCATGTGTGTACAGTAAGGACATGTACGTCATTAGTGGAAAAAAAAATAAAAAATAAAAGTCATCTACCACTTCTGTAGGGTATATTGAGAGTCATGATTAATATATGATCAAAGTGACTATAAAAGTAGTAATTTCTTACAGAGCTGCCTTCTTCAAGTCATGATGTTTATGTTGCCAAAATCAAACATCTGCTACCACTCCACTACTACTGTCTAACTTGTATAAGAAATTTTCAACAAAACTCTATGTAGATGAGGCATGCATTTAGTTTAAACAAGAACTTCTCTTCCAGATACAAGAAAGAAAAAGAAATCCTTTGACACAAGAATTTTATTAGTAGTTGGTCATAACTGAAGGTGGTGTTAGTCTAACACTTAAAGATTTGGACTTGTGTTTTTAAGGTTTAAAGTTTAGGATAATTTTCTCCTAATGTAAGCTTTCATTGTGAACATCTACAAATGATTGGTTTGTACATGTTTAGGCTTAGGATAAAACATCTTTAGGTTTAGGTTTAGGATAATTTTCTCCTAATGTAAGCTTTCTTTGTGAGCATCTACAAATGATTTAAATGCTGTATCTCCACTTCCCATTTGTAAAATGGGAATATTATTACTTCCTTTGATATATTACTAAAACAATACAACTTTGATCTCCTTTGAGTGCCTTGAACATGGCAATGATGCAATATTAATTAATCTCTTCAGTATTTAGGATGATCACAATTAAATGCAACACAGTAGTCTCATCCACCCACGTTACATCTGGAACATGTTCTGAGAAGAGCAGATTTTTTACTTTTTGCAAACAATATGGCAACATGGATATGAATCGGCTTTGAGGTTTTGTGCCAAACAGGAAAGCAACTAGCAATTACATTTAACTAACTCACTTCCTCAGTTTCTTAATCTTACACAAGAACTGCTAGATTCTGATTGACCAAAGTTTGCTGTAAAGTAAGTAGTGTAGGGGTCAAACTGTTTTTATGTCAGAGCCTCAGAAACATTAAAAATTAAGTCTTCTGGCCTTTGCTGCCCCAGTGTTGCTTATCTTTATTGTTCATTTGTGGTATAAACAATACCATTGATAGTCTGTGTGCAGCACTTTTTTAAAAAGAAAACTACTGTGCTCTGCGCTGTGATATGCTTTCCATGCCTCTGCCTCCACTAGCTTTTGCCAATATGGAGCACAGGTATGGTGTGTTTTTTTTCTGAGAAAAAAAAAGAAAAAAGAAAAAAAGGAAGCTGTACCAATGGTGTCTTCTAGCCCTGTGCTTCCCTGAGAAGATAGTATGCTATTACAATAAAGGTGATCAACCAAGGAATATCTTTATTCTCTTATGTGTTACCAAGGATAACTTTTTTCCTTTCTCCATCCTACCTTTGCCATAGGCATAGGTGGCGTGATTGTCCAAAAAGAAAACCTAGGGAAAAATGATTAATTTTGGAGCCATATCTGGGTATTTTTCTACGGTAAAGTTTTATAGAAAAAGCATTCTGAAAAAAATATGTTGTCTCTTTATGTCTGCCACTCACTTTGGACCTGAACCTGGTGATGACCTTCTCTGGTTTTCACAGGTAGCATAAGTTTCTATCTGCTCATAGCTCCTGTTCATGTTCTTCTGAGAGCTATTACCACTTGCTGTTGACCAGATCAAAGCTATTTATATCAAAGAAAAAATATAGAAATAACATCTGATTAGGCCACAATAGGGACATAATAGTTTGTTTCAACACTTGGGTCTTTTCTGAAATAGAAGACCAGAATGATGCAGTCAGTTTACCAAGTCAGCATAGGCAGCATAGGAATCAGATGGGAATCTGTCCAAAAGAACTGTTACATGTGTATGTTTTTTTTTTTTCTTCTCAGCACTGTCACTTAACAAGTCACATATTTCCACTGTCTAGCATACATATTTCATTTCAGCTGGGGCTGTGTTGCTAGGAAATTTGTGAATAGAGAGTATTGTACCACAATGACACCTACAAAACAATTACAAAACATTTACATAATGTTGCTATTGTCATTTTTCTTCTTTAGCTATTTGGGTCTGCAGAATTATACATCATACTGGGGCCAACCAGATCTTAGAAATTGCACAGGTAAGTGTACGCATATTAATCTTTGGCTAAAATACTAGTTTTGTGTTCTTTGTTTTCTAGCTAGCATAAGGAAGTTACACTAAGGACTATCTTCCCCATCTATGCTAAATCTTTTTAAAAAATCAGTGCAAAGTGTTTAAGCTCTAGGGAAGTGCACCAAATTGATTCCAGCCCATCAATGCAAAGCTCTGGATATCAATTAATGAAATAAATCAAACTCTTCAGGTAATTTAAGCAAGAATGGATGGTTGCCCTGATTTGATATTTAGATTCAGAAATTCTTTTAAAAAATTCCAGTGCCCATATGGAATGACATTCCAATGGAACGTCTTTTTCATAGACTCATTCTTTTCTGTGAACTTATGATCAGACATTTTCAAATTTATTCTCCATTTGAAAAATACCCTTTGATGTCATTCTGGCACTTAAAGGAATAATAAAATAAACAGAGAACCCTATTGACCTATGGCCCCCTATTTTAGTGCCAGAGTTAGAGAGGAGAGAGATACTCTCAAAGGTAATTCAAAGCTCAAATAAGCTGCTGTTCTGCATTGCTTTCTTGGAGAAGACTCTTTTTCCTTCTCCACTGGTAGAGATTTGTGGGAAGCCTGGCTACCTAGTTTAGTTGATTGTGATGAGTACTTACAGTCAGGCTATATGAAAATATTTTTTACTGTAGAATGAACATTCTACGGTAAATGTAGCTAAAGCCACGTTATAAAATACAACATTAAAAGCAACAACAACAAAAACACAGAGGCTGATGGTCTTTCCAAATCTTATTTGTGATTATCGCATAAATATTTTGAAGTTGCACAATATTACTATTTACATTATTTTTCTAGTGTCACCAAACATAGTTTAAAAAGCGGTTTACACTAATGATTTGCCACAGGACACAATTTCAAACTTTCCTGAACAGGAAGGTTCTTCTGCTTAAATTTGCTTGTGTATTGTGCTTGCCAGCTCTCTGATTAAGAGTTCAGACATATGAAGGAACCAGTAACATTCATAATGGGGTCAGACTTTCTCCCCTAAGTTTAAAAGAGTGAATATTTTGTAAGTAATAGTGACTTTGGGATACATTTGTTCCTCTTCAATAGGGGAACAGAAGTTGTTTTTCTCATTAAGAAAAAAAAAAAAAAAAAAAAAAAAAGGATAGAGGATAAGGAGAGAAATTTTTATATATATATATATTCCTTGCTTTCCTTTTTTTCTCATTTTGATTCATGTTATGTGTACACTTACAGAAAATGCAGCTGATATTGCCAATCAGCTTCTGAATCTCACTGGTGAAGGGCAGCAGTTAACCTCAGACAAAGTAAATGATGTTGTCCAGAAGCTCAAAAAAATTGTGAATGATGAAGAAATTGATGAATCTCTGGGTTCTACTGTGGTGACAATTTTTTCCAATATTCTAAATAGTTCAGACAGTGTATTGGCAGCATCATCATCAGAGTAAGTATTTCTGTGTTTCAGAGAAGTTTTCAAGAGCAACTTTTTTATATATATATAGAATTGCAGTAAAGAAAACTTTTTTTATTTCTATGAAAAAAAAAAGAAATCCAAATGATAAAAACAGATATTTCTTCTTGTGCTAAAATTAACGTGCATAACAAAAATATGGAAAAGAAGTCTGCTGATGAATGACACAGCACAGATTTACATATTGCTGGAAGATTATTTCAGGACCAGTGATATGTAGTTGGATACTTTCTGTCAATCAAAACCTTTTGTGTTCAACAGACATAAATTTACAACCCAACAGTCTCCTTGCAAATATAAAGGTGGGTGACAGATACACAGAGGACAGCCTTAAGGTGGAGAGCATACATAAAGAGCACACATGACCATTGTTTTATTATCATTTTTTATTCAATTTTATTCAATTTTAAAAATAATTTTATTTCTGTTTTTAGAGCTCTAAAAACTATTGATGCCTTAGCTTTAAAAATTCAGTTCACCGGACCATCCATGAGTATTTCAACACGAAACCTCGCACTTGGAGTGTCTGCTATAAACTCAACTTCATTCAAAGGTTCTACTTTCAGTGTCAGTTCACAGAATAATGCATCTGATTTCCAGGTATGGTATGAGCATTTTGAATATGAAATGTGCCAAGGATGTTTACAGTGATTAATATAAAACTATTTACAACCTCCTATTCTGCTCCTACTTTCTATTTCCATTTTCCTACAATCATCCAAGCAGATTAATGCAGTACATCTTTGAGTGGCTGGAAACACAGGTGAACGTACACAATCCATAGAGATGAAAAATAATTTGCTTACAAATCCAGAATAGATTTTATCTTTTCCAATTAAAAGGGAAAATAATCTTTAACAGTCTAATGTATTACCCATTGTACAGTGAAAACACCATTGATGAGTTTCATGTTTAGAATAATACAGATATCTACATGTAGCTTCCTGCAGGTATAACACGTGTTCAACAGTATAGTGTAAACACCTACTTCAAAGGCCTAAAGACAATCATTCATCCACATGTAGGTTCATAGACTTGTGCCATTTGGGAAGTCCAAGGGTGTTCAAGACACTCACATGGAGCTTGACCAATCAGCTCCAAAAATCAAAGGACAGGTCTTCAGTGCTACTTTATCTAGACATTAAGTTAGATATTTGCCATGACCTCAAGATATTTTTTCATCTTTATTCACAAATGAAAATGCACAAACATCTAACAGCTATGAAATAACATTCAAGATATACATGAGCATCTGCCGGGATTTTTCTAAAGGTTCTGTGGAAATCTGTAGTAATGAGCTGCCTGGACTTTTTAAAACAATTTCAGGACATGCCTCTTTGCATCTAAAGAACATAAGTACTTTAAAAAATTTAGTCCAATGTATTTTTCATAGTTATATAAGTCTATGATAGGGGTAATGTAATCACAAACTCCCTTTCTGTGAAAAATACAGAAAATACTAAATGGGGAAAAAACAAACAAACAAACAAAAACACCTATAATTAGGGCCAGAGGGCCCAAATCTGAATTGAGAGAAAACATGGCATTATGATATTGGTAAAAGAATAATCACTAGAGTATAAGTATCTAATAGACCAAATTTATTCCTGTAGCAAATTGGCAAAACAACAATCCTATCCTAATTTTATAAAGTACGTTTTACTATAAAAATAAATTAATTAATTAATTAATAAAGACATTGTTTAATAGTAGTAGTACTACTATAGGCTATCAGTCTTTTATTTGCTATGTAGATTTGGAATTAAAGTCAATCGCTGGTTTAAATAGATGCAAATGGATTTAATTTACATGTATGAGTTTTCTCATATTTATATTCATAGAAGTTTAGGCTAAACTTTCTTTGAATCAATTTTATTTGAATTGCTTGCTGATTTTAAATCTACTTTTGTTTAGTTCTCATATTAATGAAGCTCAATAAGTGATTGTTCTTTGATTGTTATCAAAGGAACAATTCTCCTCTAGATTTCATTCTGTATTTATGGAAAGAGGGAAGGAAAAATTCTGAAATGAGGTTTGGGATGTTCGCACATATAATAAGAATTACCATCTGTGTCTTGAGGACATCCAGGAATTTTCTTGCCCTGGAATCATTTATTACAACACTGTCTAAAATAATCATAAAATCCAAATTCCATCAAATTATTTATAATGTTCCTATTGGAATATGAATTTGTTCTCAGACTTTTACATTTCCAGCAACTGATTGAGAACTCTTAGCATCTTAGCTGACTTTTCTACTAGTAAAGTCAGCAGCAGCTGTGGTCACAAATTATATTTTCCATGCATATCAGGAAAGACACTTGCTATCCTTGCTGTAGGGAGATTCCTTTGTGAAAGCCCAGTCTTTTCACCAGTGATGTGATGACCAGGCTCATCAGGGATCATTAAACTCTTCAAACTGTATGTCAGAGTGTTTCCAGATTTTCTTTCATAGATATCAAGCAAATGTATCCATGGCAATTTGGAAAGATTCTATTTTAGTCCCTTGTGTCTTTATGTTTCTTGCCAAAACTTTGGCTGAGTTAGCTTTTAGTGATTCATATTATTAAATCGTTCCTGTAATACATCCACACTTCTTCATAGAAGCCTCTTCCACTTCATTTGCAGACAGTACCTATTGGGACATCTTTATCATACACGCACTTTCTGTTTAATGTGGCAGAATTATACTTTGAAAACCTGTTATTCAAGTGCTTTTAGCTTTGTTAGGAGATACTTATGAACTACTAGTTATTAATTTCCAGTGGTGCCTGTTCATCACAGTAAGTCGGTGAATTTAGAATTTAATATTTAGTATTTAGAATTTAAATAAATCAGTAGCCTATAACTTGTAACTTTCTCTTAGCTAATGTGAGAGGCATAAATAACAGTTGCCTCAGAAGAAGTAAGGAGTGTGAATTTCCTATCTTGCAGTAAAATTATTGAACACTTTTATAATAGAGCCAGTATTAGGTGGCTTACTTTTCTACCTTTGATGAATAGGGTGGCACACCTTGAGTTTGCCATGGTGTAAGTGTATGCAGTCAGAGAATTGCTTTGTGAAAGCTAATGAAATATGAGTTTGCATAGATGGAGAGAAGTGACACTAATTATTTAAAAGTCTCCCTCTTTTAACAGAGAAACTAGAAAAGTTAATAAGAAAATTAATTCAGATGTTCAAATCAAGCCAAAAAAAAAGTACAACTCAAGAAAGAAGGATTCAGAGCACATTTTCCTTTTCTCAACATTGTTTGGTATAAGGGAATGTATTCTGACAGTTACTGAAAATTATTTATGTCTGCCATTATTGCTATATCAGTATTTCAAAATCATCTTTATAGCAGTGGAGGAGGGGTTTTTTTTGTTTGTTTTATTTACTAATTTTGTGCAGCAGAATATTAATCTCATACTGCGAGAGTAGAAAAAAAAAATCCTAAGCCTTTTTTTTTTTTTTTTTGATTGAATTAGTTCTTGCATAAGTACGGGTAAAATTAATGTTAACAGTTCTAGTCCAATGGTTTAGATATTGTCAAGAAGGGTTTGAACCCAGCTTTTCACAGTAGATGGCTTACTTTTTGTTTGAATATGTTCTTTTCTTGTGCTGTTTTTATTTAACAGATAGACTTTGACAAGGACCAGACAAATGCCTTTGCTTCTGTTGTTCTGCCACCAAGTTTATTGAAGAATTTAAGTCAAGATGACTTTGAAATTATATCGAGGGCTCAATTTACTTTCTTCAATAAGAATGGCCTTTTTCAGGTAAACTTTAATGAGTTTGAAGTAGTTTCAGCTACAATGAGTCAAAGGCAGCTGCCAAATGTTTCCTGTAATGTAATTTCACAGCATTTCATGATTTACAGGAATGAGCTGGTGATAGCAAATGTAGGCATTAGGGCATTAGGGATATCATAGTGACAAAATAGCCATAGCATCCACATTGAATTAGAGTGAGCAATTTGAGTGCACATTCTAGTCACATGTGAGATAAACTTTTTTTTAAAAGTAATCAACAGCAAGCTATATCCAAGCTGATTATAATCAGTGTAAAGTAGCAAAACCTTTTAAAGGGCACATCTTCTATAGCAATGCATTGAATCAGTGTAAAGTAGCAAAACCTTTTAAAGGGCACATCTTCTATAGCAATGCATTGATATAGGTGCTTGATGTTCAGTGGAGTTGGGTTCTTTTATATCAGCTGGAAATTTGGTGCGTAATACAGCTAAATATTCTTTCTTTCTCTTTTCATTGAAAGAGTTTATTGACAGTCATGTCCAATGGCCTACTTATATCCAGTTTGAAACTCTGGGCTGCTGGTCACTGTCCAGAGAACATTTTTTTTTCTATACATACTGTTCTTTTTATGTGTTCTCATAAGCACACCATTTTTTAATGTTACCCATATATATTTAAAGACAACCTGGTTATCCTGGTTATGGAATAAGGACAGCAATATTTGTGTCTGAAAACAGAAGGGATACAGGTGGATTTGCTATTTTTCTCCTTTGGGTCCCATCACATGGTAATTATAAATACTTCCTGCATGGTTAATGTCAAAAAAAAAAAAAAAAAGAGGAAGAGTTTCACAGCTTGAAAAAAAAAAGTTCATTTATAGGGAAACACTGTTTCATAGTGAACTGTAGGCTAAGCCTCAGAAGGCTTCAGTTTGTTTTCCCATTAGTATTTTAAATGACCTTTGGCTCTTGTACATCCGGAGAACTCTGTAGTATTGTATTGTCTCTATATTATCATTTCTATTGGCAGTGTATCCAGATTCTTAAGATAATCGAGGTAAGAAAATACTCTTGGCCCTCAGTTGCCTTCTAATATACACCCTAAAGTATCTTTAACTATTTAAAATAGTATTCTTTTTAAGGCCACTTTTAAGAAAAACAGGATGAATATATTTAATAAAGAAACCGGCACAATATAGATACATGATTGTCATAATGGCATAAAATCATACAAAGTCAAAATGTGTCCAGGAAGGAAGGAAGAAAGGAAGATTACAACTAAAATTCCCTACAGTATTTTGTGTGGTTTTTAAATTGTTCATGTGTGATGTTCAATAAGATTAATTAAAATGTGTGAAAATCACATTTTAGTAAGTGTAAAAATAAAGTCAAAAAAAAAGACTAATGACACTCTCAAAAAAAAATAAATATTGTCACGCTGTCTCAAACCCCCTGACTTTATGCATTAGTATAAAATTATTCCACGAATATATTTATTCCAATTTCAATAGCATTCTACTGTTATTAGCTGTATTTTCTATAAACATTCACTGTAAAATGAAACATCATACTTTACAGCACTGGAGTTTTTTTGTGTGTGTGTTTTGTTTGGTTTTTTTTAGTTGCAACTGATAAAATGCTCTCAAGCTTTATCCTGTCATTCATTGAAATCTGATGGTTAAGCTATTCAGGGTGAGACTCATTTCACATATGGTAGGTGTGTTCAGAGTAGATACTTACACCTAAACTGTTGTCCATAAGCTGCCCTCAGTGCCAGTCAATGGAAAGGAATGGACAACGACAAGGTGTGACACAGCTCATCCTAGTGCGGGAGTAGGCACTGGTTCCCCAAACAAAAGAGAACAGTGCCATTTGCATCACCCCAAGTACTGCCTGACAGATGCGGAAATGAACCTATAACAGACTTACTGGACACGAGGGAGGATACCTTAAAGCCTCTAAAGTGAACACATACTTTTAGGCAACTGCAGCAGGTAGTGTACTAGAAGTCCTAACTTCTTTGTTTCCCATAAGGTCAACCAGGCTTCTAGCTATTCAGACTTTAATGGAAATTCTTCAAAGGAAAATTCTACTTGCAAAACACTTCCATTTTAATAAATCATCAGATTCCAATGAAAAGATCTCTTTTGGAAAATTCTCCACTTGATACTTTTTCACTGCAGGTTATAAATGGTATTGATATCATCAGTCTCCTGATGATAAAATAAGATCTTACAGTGTCTATCTAGCATTGCTTTGCGTTTGTTTACTACTTCTTGGTCTTTCATTTTAAGATGGAGGATGACTTAGCAACTATATACAGAAAAGAGGTTATTCTCCTAAAACTTTACACCTAGTAAAAAGGATAGCAACAACAATAAGATAAGAAAGCTATTTCATTTTTTTAAGGGAAATACATGTATGTTAATCATTTCTGCCACATTGTTTGAGTTAGTGTCATCACACAAAAAGATTAAAAGGGGAAAGTATACCTTTTAACCTTTCTTTATAATAATGTCCAAATATATTTATGACTATAACGAAAATAGGAAAACTTCCATGAGGCAAATCCAGAATTTAGTTTTATAAACAAAATGTCCTTATATTACATGATTGAAATTGTAGAAATGCTGACAGTTTATTTATTCTGGCATGCTGCAAAAATAAAACTGTACTCTGGCTTTTATGTTATGTGCCTTGTAAGCATTTTTTATATTTTTCTGAATCTTTTAAAGGATGCAGAAACTCCTGCCAACTTGACCAGTTTTGTTGTGGCATGCAGTATTGGAAACATAACTATTCGGGATCTTCAGGATTATGTGAAGATTACGATTAAGCATACCAAAACTCAAGTAAGAAGAGACTGATTATTCAGAGGAACAGGAGCGTAGATTATATATAGTAAAGGCTGTGCATGCAGCTTCATTGCTTTGGGTGGATTTTGAGTATATATATTGAATGTAAACCCAAATGTAAATAAAATCTCTGACAAAAAGATAAGTAAGAAAAAAAGAAAAGTAAAAATAAATCACTTCTACATCCTCACACATTCCCAATCCATTAATGTTTTAGTATTTATCTGAAAGACTATTGATTCTGCTATTCACAAGCAATTTATGCAAATAATTCTAGGTAAAACCATTTTTCACAACCAGTTTGTGACCATGTTCATGACCAGGGACATTACATTTTACACTGGAACTTTAAAAAGACTTAAATTCTTTGACCATAATGAAATTGTTTTTTTTAATAGTTCCCCAAGATTTTGTTGTTATACGGTTTCCTGCAAATGAAGAATGGGCAGAACCACATTTTAAAAAGATGACTAGAATTAATTTACATAAATAAGGTCAAAATACAACCTTTTGGTTCGTGATGTTTCAAACAGTTCTCAGTAGCTACTGCAAAAGAGACAATAGCACTAGAGAAATTAAGAAAGAAGAAGTTGGTATGCAATACCTAAGAAGGTTGTTCATGTAATGAGAACCTGGTTCATAATTTTCACATAACTTCACCTTACATTTCATTATAATGATTATTTTAAGGTGAGGCACAACAACCTCCACTTAGATTCAGCAGTCTTTTGCAGAGTTACGAGGCCATTTACATTAAGGATTCGCTGAGAACTCATGAGGAAGTAAACAGTTAAAAATATTTAAGGTCTGTAAAGACATCATACTCATGGATAACTTTAGTGAGACAATAAAACTTCTCATTCTGAGGATGTGGAAAAGGAAGAGTGAAGATGAGCAGTGCTCTGTGATTTATAATTACGGCAAATGTCTTCCTGAGGAGAATAAGGTCTGGTTTAACACTAGACAAAATTTCAACACTCCAAAATAATATTTTTTCTACTGCTCATCAAATGAAAAGATATGTAGTAAAACATCTGCTGAAAATGCATACATGTTGATGAGATTTATATCTGAAGAGGTATAAAAGGTTTACTTTTGCATGTGTTCTTAGGAAGATCCTAAGCCTACCTGTGTCTTCTGGGATATGAATAAAAATGGTAAGTTTAAATATACTGTCATTTCTTTTACATTGGGAAAAAAGGTGTCAAAGTTGTATAACCAGTCTCAGTCTTGACCCTTTTTGATTCTCTATTAGTCTTTGCAGAGTTAGATAAATCTTTAAACTGTATAATTTCTTCTGTTTAGTAAGGTCACTAGTAACAGAAGATGTTAAATATTCTTACTAAAATATTTTAATGTAAATTTGGTTAATATTTTAAATCTGTATTTATTAATTAATACATGCAATTATATAAATATATAGATACATTATAAATGTGATATGAATACTAATATTTAATATATTATATATTAATATATATACATAATATATATTATATGTATTTATATATTATATATAGTATTTATTTATATATTAATAAATGTAATTTAAAAAACTGTATATAAAGATTTTTATAAAGATGGAGGTAAAGATAAAGATTCTCTCTATCCATGCTGACTTGCATTACATATTGCAGAGAGCAACAACCCTCTGTTCCTAGGCCTCTGCTTTCTTGTGCCTGGGGATATGTGAATAGGAGGGCAGTATGTGCAGACATCACTTCATGGTGTTAAAAGGGAGTAAAACCATGGTATTATTGGGTAAAACTAAGGTGTGTCTTAATGCATGATACACATAGGCCTTATTCATCCACCAATAACCAAAAATCTCCCTACCTTTATTATAAATCTCCAACTATTGCTTCTGCTCAGTAGGCCATTATTGAGACACGTCTGGTGAAATTCTCTAAAAAACTATGAAATCTAACAGTTTCTTCTTTACTGACTTCTTAATATTCAGTGATATTATATATTTATTATATATGCATTTCTGCATTTGCACAAGATGAAGCAAGGAATCCAATGAAAGAAGAATACAGGTTTGTTGGAAAGCATGGTTTCTCTTGTTTCCTTTCCATAGGTGGCAATGGTGGCTGGAACCCTACGGGTTGCAAAGTGGAAGCAGAATCCAATGAAAATGAGACAGTTTGCTTGTGTAACCACCTCACACACTTTGGGGTCCTAATGGTAAGCAAACTCTCATTGTTCACTAAGTTATCTTTCCTAGGAACTGCAATGTAGTATTTCTCTTGGGCCAAGACAACTTTCTTGATTCATGTTTTATATGTTATTCCTTTTGCAAATGATTTTAACCTTAAAACATTTTCTCTGTTATTGATCATTATTATCATATAGTTTTTGTTGTTGTTGTTGTTGTTTTATAACACAGTACCTAATGATAAGTATTAAAGGATAAGGTAATCAATAAAGAAAATGAAAGAAGTGGACAACTATTATAAAATTAAAAAAAAAAAAAAAAAAGCGCCCATAAAAAGAGTTGGCTCAGACTTCAGAGTGATACCAAAATGCAAATAATATATTAAAAAATCCAACTTCAAAGCCAGGACATAGGTGAAAAACAAAGCCAGAATAAGGGATGGTAACACCAAGGCCCATTACTAACCCCTTCACTAGAGAAATTAAAAAGTCGGTGAATATTTATGGGGGAGAGGGGAAGTAAGAGAAAAGAATTTTTTAGATAACAAGTTTAGACATTGTTTCAGAACAAAAAGTAGAGCATTGTATTTTCAGGAAATATCCTGCAGTCAGCAAAATTGTTAATGACAATGAAAAGACAAGAGCACAGTAATTCCCCTTCATCCCCTTCATTCAAGGGGCTAAATTGCACCTTGGAAATTTTGCTTGCAAATCCAACAAGATTTATATCATTTTGATGTCAAAAAATAAAAAGTAATAACTTCTTTTGCAATCTGTAAAACCATATTTGCTATTCACTTTTAAATGGCTGGTAGAGCTTAGCATATCAAGATGGACAAAGGTACCTTCAGCCTCAGCAGTATGACTCCTCTAGTATTCAGGTGTCTCCAGCAATTTTCCTGCATGATGTGTTTTTGAAAGAAAAAAATCTCAACATGAAAAAGATGGATTATTGCAATCTGACCTTAAAATTTGGTGATTTTTTAAACTTCAAAAGTAGGCTGAAATTTCTTTTGGTGAGAAATTAATATTCTTTGCCCTGTAAATAAAGCCTGCAGGAAAGATGTTGGCTTCTTATCAGAGTTATACCCCTAATGATTTTTATTATTTTTTTGATTTACCTTTTTGCAGTAGCACATAGGAATTAACTGCACAAGGAAGCTACAGACATTGATTTTTCAGCTTTGGCCTTCCAGAGCTTTCCTAACAGAATTGCTCTCTTCACATCATGTTCAGATGTCAATGTGAAATAGTCATAAGCTTTTTGTCTTTTTGCAAGCTAAATTGCAGTCTTGTTTCACTTTTCATCCTTGAATGGGGGAGAAAAAAAAAAAAAAAGGCTTTCTTTAGGATATACTCAATGAGTCCCTTCTCCTCCCTGAATGCTTTTGTGGCTTTAGGAAATAAGGCAGAAGTTCTTTGAATTTGGGCTGTGTTCCAATAGATTTTGTACACATTTTTGACTGTTTTAATTGCTTTTCCATTTCAATAATCTTTTCTGACTTTCACTTAGATATTAAATTGCTTTCAGATAACACTCTCTTTATATATATAAGGTTGGGACAGGGTGTAAAAAACTGCATACAGCTCCTTTATTTTTCTATGAAGAATAGCATGTTTTGTAGTCTTTTGTTGGTATCTTTTTGCTAGATGATTTTGCTTGGGATAATAGTTACACTGACTGTAGAATAGACACCATTATATGCTAGTATTTGCTCACATTTACTCCACGGTGATATAGATCCAAACATTCTCATTATTTCTTTTCCTTAAAGAAGGAAATAACACTGGCATTTATTCTCAGACAATACTAAATTACATTTGGACAGAAAACTGGAAAAAAAATCCTCCAGATGTTCCTGCTTCATTTCCAGTTTGTTTGTTTGTTTTTTTGGCTGTTTTTTGTTGTTGTTGTTGTTTTGAAATGTTGTCTTTGTCACTACTTTTCTGACCAACATTTATAATTGTAGTTTGCATGTCAAAACAGACTATAAAACTGAAGAGCAATATCTTGCCCTTGCTTTCACCCATAGATGATTAGCTGCATTAACTAATGAAATTTTAATTGCAAGAAGTGATGTCAGAAACTCCCCGGAATTCTGTATATTTCATTATGAATATTTTTAAATTACATTTTTAATACACATTCAACATAAATATCTTCTTTAAAATAGGTGTCTATAAGCAACTGAACTAAAAAGTTTGAAGAGGGAATTTTTTTCCACAGGAGTTCATTTGAATTCCTAGTACTGAATTATAAGGATCAGCATCAGGCTTTGTCTGTCTGCTTAACCCAGCAGTTATAATACTCACAGCACAATGTTTTCAAGAGCTATGGGAAGGAAGTAAGAGGTGTAACAACTATAAACTTGATAAACATGAACCCTAATGTCAGGGTTATAGTGTTATTGCCAGTGTTTTTGAGTTTTATTTGTCTAATAACCAACCAAAAATGTTGTGCTCATGAAAAAAAGGAGTTTGCTGTAACTGTTACATCTTCCTCCTGTCTCACATAGGACCTTCAGCGAACCACTACAGAAACAGACCCACGGAATAACAAGATCCTCACTTTCATCACTTACATAGGCTGTGGGATATCTGCTATATTTTCAGCTGCAACTCTTCTGACATATATTGCATTTGAGTAAGTATTGATTCTGTCAGAAAAAGTCACAAAGGAAGTACCTCTCTGTGATGAACAACATGGTTGGTGTGTTTTATTTGCCTTGGAAGGGAAATATACGTTTAAAAAAAAATACACTACATAATCCTGTGCATAATGGTATAAGTAGAAACTTTTTTTTCAAGGGACATTTAGACTCTCTCCTCCTGTTTCTAATATGTTGTGCTGCTGAGACCAGGCAACAAGGCTAATATATCCCAAAATTTTCTCTTTGGTGTGTACAACATCCTACAGTATCAGATATGTGTTATAATATCCACAGCCAGGCTTTTTGTAAGAACAAAACCAAACCAAACCTGCTTGTGCAAGCATAGTAGGTCTGAATAAAAAAGAAAAATTTATGATTTGAAAAATTACATTCTGAAGCCCTTCAGAAGGAAATGGAGAAGAGAAAGAAAATGAAGCTAATTTGTGAAGTTTTACAACAATTTCAGCAAGGGACTCAAAGGAATTAAAAAGTTTTGGAATGATACAGTTCTGTGAACAGAGAAAAGAATCACATCAACACAGAGGAACAATTCTGTCTGGAGTAGGACAAAACAGAGTAGCTGCTAAGGAAGGATATTTTCCCAGGGGGGAGAAAAGGGAGGCTTCTGAGATCTTCAAAAATAGTTCTAGGTAGTCTCTAATTATTGCATTCCTGTTGCATTACCTATGGTATAATATTTTGGTCCAAGATGGCAGAAGTTGCCCCTCAGTTCATAGATTTCAATGTGTATCAATTAAAAAATAAAACTAAGTTGATCTTCAGTCTTCCTGAGAGAGAGAGAGAGAGAGAAGGAGAAGGAAGGAAGGAAGGAAGGAAGGAAGGAAGGAAGGAAGGAAGGACGGACGGACGGACGGACGGACGGACGGACGGACTGAACAATATCTTCTGAAAACTAACCAAAGATTAGTATGTAAATTGATCAAACATAATCTTCTGGACAGTTATATTTCTAAAAAAGAAAGACCTTTTTTAAGTCTCTTAAGTTCTTGTTTAAGGTACAAACTGCATTGTATTATATTTAATTTGAAAGTTTAATAATAATAAATAATAAATCAATTGCTAAAATATTGTGGCAGTAAAGTAGTTCCTTAAGAAGCCAAACAAGCGATGGCTTTCCCCTAGAACATACAGCAGGAAGGCTTCAGCAATATCACAGAGAAGGACATGTCTCTATGCCTTATTACCACAATAGCTTATGGCTAAGAGGAGATAACTATACTTTTATTTATTTTGTAAACTGATAAACCTAACTGCTGTAAGCAACTTGGGTAACTGAAACCAATTAATCATAAACATATGTATTTCTCTCACTAGGAAGCTGCGAAGAGATTATCCCTCCAAAATTCTGATGAATTTGAGCACAGCTCTGCTCTTTCTCAACTTGATCTTCTTGCTTGATGGTTGGATTGCATCGTTCGACATAGATGGCCTCTGCATAGCTGTTGCTGTACTTTTGCACTTTTTTCTTCTGGCCACCTTTACATGGATGGGACTAGAAGCGGTTCATATGTACATTGCTCTAGTTAAAGTGTTTAACACCTATATACGGCGTTATATACTGAAGTTTTGCATCATTGGCTGGGGTGAGTTCAGTACACACAGTTTTTACATAGTGTGTTATTTGAAATGACGTTATATAAAAGACCATTATCACAGATGCAAAGCAGAATCAAAATCAGCATAGTTTCTTCCCCTGCCTCTCCCTCCCCACCAAGGTGCTGGCATAGAGGCAGTGCTCTGTGTCACTAAGACCAGAGTTCCTGTGCAAACACACCAGAACTACCAATCTCTGCCTGAGAAGGAGCAGCAGACTGGATACGCTGTTTTTTCCAGAGAGGCCAACATGTTGCAGACATATAAGAGATGGAGAACCATGGCACACAATGAATTGAGAAACCCTTACAGTTACTACAAAGTCCATGGGGATCTTTGCATTGACTTTCTAAAAGCTCTAATCTGATGCTGAAATTCCTTGCTGAAAAATACAAACCCTATGGTGGAATCAGAAATTTCCTATGCTTCAGCAGTGTTTAAACCACAGAGAGATCCTGCCTGCCCTGTATAGTGTACAATATAGGACTGAATTGGAAAATGTAATGCTGAAAAACAACTGTGAGGTTCAAGCAGCACGGCTTTTATTCTTCCTTTTTTTTTTTTTTTTTTTTTTAATATCAGGAATCTGTGCCTTCTTCCTGAATGCACATATTGTGTTTGAAATAATACAATACAATACAAAACCATTAACCTCATGCCTAGAGCACTGACCTCAGTCCAGCTGATAATTGATGTCTTTCCATTGGTAACTAGCATCCTTTTTGGCAACCTCAGAAGCAGACAAGGACTGAGTGGTAGGAAAAGCAAATTAACCTCTTCCCCTTTGAAACTGTTTTGTCATTGCAGGGATAAGGCATGTAAAATAAGGCATGTCAGGAAATGTGCATTTGTTGTGAGCTGAACCTCTCTGCACATAGTCCTCATCCACATAGTTGTCTGTTAGTTTCACTAAATATTCCCTATACTATATTAATAAAAAATGTACAGTTTACTTCATTTTTTGGACACATTTAAGTAAAGGGTATATATTGTTTTAGAAAAAAAAGAAGACATTTACAGCTGAAAGAAGCAGAGGAGAAATGAAGATCATTTTTCTTGGTTTCCCAGTCTAATTAAATGACATCAGCATCTCTGGAAAAAAATCCCTCCAAAAACAACCCCCAATTCCATCCCTTCACTATATCTCATTTTTAGTAGTTTGTTAGTCTTTTTCTCCCTTTATTATGAGAACTTTATTATTGTTCAAGTGCTTTGAGAGAATTATCACATACTTATCACATACTAAAATAACATTTCCTAACTTAAAGAACATTATGAGGCTAATTCATTAATGGTTATTAAGTACTTTGAAAGCTTTAATCATGGGTACAGTTTGAAAAAAAATGATTTATTTTCCTCTATTTCTCTGTGCAGTTTTATGACCTAGAACTACATCAGTATACTCTATACTATAGCAATAGTGATGGAAACATCCATAATTCTGCTTTGCATGGTGATTTTGAAAGTTTAAAGGATTTGAAAGCTAACTACAATTATCTCATGTTACAGGTTTGCCAGCTCTAGTGATAGCAATTATTTTATCAAGCACAAATACTAATGCAAGTCAGATTTATGGCAAACAATTGTATGGCAAAGATGCTAGCGGGCAACTAGGAGACAACTTGTGAGTACTTTTAATCTCTTAAAATTTAGCATTTACAATCTAAAAAAAAAAAAAACAACCACCACCAACAGCAACAAAAAAGCATTGGTCAGATTACTTTGGAAAGTCATAGGTGGATAAAACAAGGAAAGTGGACAAAATTGTCTTCTAAATTATTTGAATCTGAAGGAAAAGAAGAACATAAGAAAAATTGGAGAGAAATCTACATTACATTACAGTGAGGTGCAAAAACACTTCTGACAAAAGAGTAATTATAAATTTTGTTTCACAAAAATTAAAATACCTGTTTTGGTTTATTTAAAATGAAAGCTGCATATTCTAGTCATGAGCAAGAAAGAAGTAAAATAAAAATAGTCTCCTTTGTAAATAAAGTAGGCCTTTGTCAATGTAGGTCATTAGCTTCCTACGTTTTTTTCTCAATGTCCCAAAATAAACTCCAAATACCAACATTTTTATATGACTGTTACCACATTTTATGTTCCTTGACTGGCAAAGCTTTGTCATGATAAATAAAATATCATTCTGGGTTTTTATTAAGGTATAATGGTAATCATTGTAGCTATTTGATGACAGAGGTATAAGCTAGATCTCTCAAAAGACTGACTATCATATGGCCATCTCAAAGGACTACCCATACTGCTTCTTCTTTAGAGCCATGAGTTCTCCTTTTGCTGAAGTGACAGAAACTTTTGTCACTGAAGATCCAAGCTTGAGTATTCTGTTATTAAAGCATGCTATGCTTCACACTGATAAGGGTGGTGAAGCTACTTGCACTGAGTTGCATGATGAGATTGCAATTCCCATTGCTTGTATCTGTGATCAGATTTTCTTTTTAATTAGTTTTACCTAAAATGAAGTGCAACACTCAGATTTCTGACAAGATGCTAGTATGTGCTATAGTGTATTAAGATGCCACTGAACGTCATCCTATTTAAAAACAGAAAATGGACAAAGGCTTCACTTGAAATTTTACCACAGGCTACTTTTCCTTGCAGTCACATAAATAATTGGAGCATATTTTGCATTACCTAAAATGGTCATAGTTTCCTTTTTTTTTTTTTTTTTATCAGCTGCTGGATCAAGAATGAAGTTGTCTTTTATGTGACTTGTGCTGGATACTTTGGAATCATGTTTCTCTTAAATGTTGCCATGTTTGTGGTGGTGATGGTGCAAATCTGTGGGAGGAATGGGAAAAGAACTAATAGGACTCTAAAGGAAGAGATCCTGAGGAACCTCCGTAGCGTGGTCAGCCTGACTTTCCTCTTGGGCATGACATGGGGCTTTGCTTTTTTTGCCTGGGGTCCCTTAACTTTGCCCTTCCAGTACCTCTTCTCAATTTTCAACTCATTGCAAGGTAAGTTGAATTTCTTTTCTGTGAACAAAAAATATCTGAGTTGTTACTCTTCTGGGAGATCTTAGGTCTGACTAGAGAACTGTGATCCAAGTTCTCTGGATCTTTCCCTGATACTAAAACATCATTAGTTTTACATTCTGTGGAATAAATTTACATGGGTTGAAGGTCTTTGTTAAATCAATTAACATTTCAAGGCCTTTTTAATAAAATGCACTGTATTATAAATAGTGCTGTTCCTAGCTAACAGTCTGCAGTGATCCCTGCTGATAGATGCTGTATGACCTTCAACATTTCCTTTTACTGATTATAACAAATATAGGAAGCCTCTTTCTTTAATTTATTCCTGTATGGAATTTGTAAAGCTCATAATTATTTTATTAAGAAATTGAATGTTCATAAAAAAAAATCCAGTCCTGTTTCCAGGTGGAAAGAGAGCTCAGAGATAAGTGATATTCTTTGATTCTTTAATTAAAATAGAGTAACTATTGTAGGTAGCTTCCTTTTGTTTTCTTTTCTGAAAGTTTGAATATTTTACTTTTTCTACACAGTTTGTCCTTCTGAAAAATGCTATAAATTGTAATCTAATCATTATAAATTACAGAATTATATAGATGTCGTTTAAAAGAATTTTGTCTTGGAGCTGATTTGCATATGTACCAAATGACATAAGGATCTCCACCCCTGTGTGTATCACCAATAAAGAACAACTAAAAATAAGAAAAAAATAATGAGAAGGTCATTGGAGGAGTATGTATTATACCACATACATACTGAGATTAAAATAATAATAATAATGCACAGAAACAAACAAAAAACAACATACCAGAACTAAACACAAGGATGTCATTGGGGGAGTGTGTGTTTTTCCACACAAATATTGAGATAAAATAATAAATAAATTCCTAGGGTCAGCAAAATATCTGCCCCTAATGGAAAAATTACTTAATATAAAACTGTGTGGATTTTATCTGTTACAGTTGAGACATATTTACTGAGCTAAAAGATTTATTGAGCTTTCGTGGAAAGAGAATAATGTTGTGGTTTTTGGCTTGGTTCAGTTTCAACCTGAAATGTTAGTCAAAATGGCAAAATAATGTTTGTATGTGGTGTTCTTACTAAAGGCTTTTTTTCCAATGAGCAGACTCTGATTCTCCCTTAGGAGCAAAATGAAGTATTTGCTGTAATGTGTCCGTGTTAGAAATTTAGAAGGGCCTAGAGAGATTAAATTATGGGAAGAACATGAAAATATTCACATTCTGAAAAGCATGCCAAGGATCAAATTCACCAAGTTTTCTTTAAGCAGAATTTCCAGCACAATCAATTAAGCTTGTATGTGCAGAGTGCACACAAGGTTGACCACCACTGCTTAATTCTCTGTGGGGTGATAGAACTGTTCAATGGAAAATGAGTATTTGGAAGACAGTTAAGTCAGAAGATGAAACCAAAAACTCTGAGGAGTAAATGCAGGAAGAAGATGAATGATGATATTCTCATGGGTTGTGGTAGCAAAGATGGCATGATAGTATATGTTCAGGCAGGTCATATCAAGCACAGGAAGATAACAATCCTGGAAAAATGCATATTGCTGTGTCAGAAAGAGCTGGGCAAAGCTAAAGGAACAAGGAAAAGGACATTTTAAATCACCTATATCTGGTGTAGCACGGACCTGGCAGTAACAAGATGAAATAGTGCAAGGGAAAAAGAAGAGTTTGCTTCAGGTAGCATTTTCTATCAGCAGAAAGGTATTAGCACTGGTATTACCATGAGTTTGGTTACTGACCTCTCCATAAACTTGTCTGTTTTCTCTCTTGAGTTTGTGAAAGCTGCACTGTTGTTTTAAGCTACACCAGCAGCCTCTGTAAACCTATTTTTCTACACACTGGCAATGAAAAAAGTAAATTGAAGCAACTACTGGTATTACTATACTTTGCTATTGCATCTACAAAGGAAATGATTTTTTCTCTTTGACACTCAGAGTAAAAAATCTGGGAACATTTCTTTTTTGGCTGTTCATTTCATATATATGCCTGGGCAAGCCAAATACTTTCAAGTCAGAGCCAAGCTAGAGCCAAGCCTAGGGTCTGATTTGGATATGGGAAACAAAACCAAAGTTGTGTTACTAAAGCACATTGTGAACTTAATGAATAATGAAATACAGAGGGGAAAAAAAAAAAAAAAAAAGAAACCAAGCCCAGACAGGGCAAAGACAAAGTATTTAATGCTATGCATTCATTTTGTAATACATTAGACATAGACATTTTCTTTTTTAACCATTCAAAACGTTCCAAACATTCACCTCAATTTAATTAAGTATCAATTTAGTAAGTTTGTAGAAGCACAGAAGTCCTAGGAGGTACTTAGAGCACAAACAATTGCATACCTCTCAGTAAGTAAAAGCCGCTAGTGATTGCACTGGAATTACTCTGTGTTAAAAGTGAAGCACAAACTGAACTACTTTACTAAGTGCAAACACAGTAACCAGAATTGAACAGAGCTTGCATATGGTATGCATTAAGGTATGTTTGCCTTCCTTAAATTGTGCTTCTTTTTCTCTTTTTTTTGTTCCCATCAGCTGTTGGAAAAAAAAAAAAAAAAAAAAAAAAAAAAAGTGTTTCATTACACAACCTTTACACAACCTTCTAAAGTTAATGAAATTAACTGTTTTGTTTCTCTGACCTCACTGAGACTACTGATAGTCTCAGCCTGGATTGAGGGCCATAAGCAAATACAAGTCCCATTCATGGGACATGACTTGCATAATGTAAAAATGTACCTCAGCGCTTTGGAGAAGAGAGGATAATTTTACGCTCTAAATCAATTTTTCCAAGCTATACCCTGCCATTGCATTCTACCAGTTGAAACATAGTAGGCATTGGCGTATGGAACTATTCATGATCATCTTGTACAGTCTTAGAGGACGTCACTTAACCACATTTGCCCACATTATGTAATATTTATTCATGTTTAAGATATAATCATGAGGGATTTGGTGGTAACATTTGCCATCAGGTGTTCAGCCTTGGGTTGGCTGTCTCCCAGGGAATAAGAGTAGAACAAGAATAGGCCAGGCCCGGGAAGGACGGAAGATTCCACAGCTGGTGCCTGCCTGGGAAGTGCCAAGAACACATGAAATGTCCAGCTGCTATATTTATCTCCAAAGTATCTCTGTAGGATGATGAAATTGTACCGTACACCCCACCAAAGCCTTTGTTATCAGATATTAGATGCCCATCTTCTGTACTGAAAATAGGGATTATACGATTGCATAAAGAAAGTGAAATCTACAAAAACATTCTTAAACGCTTTATTGTAATTACATGCACAAACAAGGCGATTTTCTTTGAAGAAAAGAAGTATTTGGACACCTAGTTAGTACTTATGGGCATATTTTTACCATTTTCAAGTATACCATAATCATTTCAAGTTCGTGCATGTGATGATCATAAATCCAAGTGTTTTTTGTTTGTTTGTTTGTGTCCTTTAGTGTCAATTTCAAATCTTCAGGTTTTGAAAGAACATAGCCTATAAATCTGTGGGTATAGGACAGGAGATAAAATATCTTCCAGCTAACAAAATATTGTCTGTGCTTACCCTGCAGTCTAGCTGCAATGTCCTATTGGGTGCAAAATTTCCATTTGGTTCAAAATCAAACCCTTTTAATGATTTCCATCTAAGCTAAAAAAGTAGAATAACCACACTGAGCTGGAGGTGAAGCAGCAATGTCAATAAAAGGGCTCTCTTCTCCTGATATCCCAGACATATGTACAGCAGATACAGGATGGGAAAACTATAATTAATTTTCTTATCTTTTAAATGAGGCATATGGATAGATGACAAGAGGAAAACTTAGACATGATTTTTCGTTGCTTGTACTTCATAGTCTTTTGTTACCAGACTTTAGTCAATCTGTTTATATATTTAAAATACATGTTTTATTTGCTTTTGTCATAGGTTTATTTATATTTGTATTCCATTGTGCCATGAAAGAAAATGTGCAGAAACAATGGAGGAGACATCTCTGTTGTGGCAGATTTCGACTGGCAGACAATTCAGGTAAAAACAAGTCACAGCTCCCCTCCTTATTTGCCGCAATAGGCTGGAAAGTCCAGGTGATCAGCCTGCTACACTATTTTTAATGTAATAAAATATAAGCAAGAGATGTGGAAAAATTGATTAATCATAGGCTATCACTTCACTTTAGCAATAGCAATTGCCAAGGGAATTTTCAGATATCACTTCTTAAAAAGTCTCAGATCTTCTCTCAGTTTTCTCCTGAAGGCAGCTGGTAAATTTTGTAGTGGTTTGGTGACACACATGGTTTTGGAAGGCCATTTGGAGCCTTAAAAATAAATAAATAAATAGATAAATATCTGTCATTCAAAAGCCAATCTTATGCTTTTTCTTCTGCTGACTAAATTATGTTGACTAAATTCTTCACTATTAGGTTAATGTAGGATTGATTCTTAAAAAGCAGGAATACCCTGAGGTCTTTTGCCTTAGTCTTCCTTTAGCAGAAGCCTGATTAGGTTCCAGAAGTGATGTTCATCTTTATCTGTATGGCTGTAGAGTACTTCTACAATTGGTTTGGACACCTCAGAGTGGGTCACTGTATATAGTCTCCTCTACCTTTGGCCATCTCAGATGGCATTAGACTCCTGTGTTTAAGCAACTTGATTGTGCTTTGCTATATATATATTGGTTCTGGATCATGTAATTCTTGTTTGTATGATTCCTGCACAATGGCTGGGGTTCATCTCCACAGATGATGTAAAGTGGCATAAGCTCGTTGCTTACTGAGGTAAAACAGCCTATCCTGGATTATAGCTGTGCTCCAAATGCTTTTGTGTCCTTTCTGTCTTGGCATCCAGGGATTGCTTCAAGGTTGTAAGCAACTGCTTTGCAATCAAGAACTTTGCTTTGTCTTGTTCTGTTTTGCTTAGGGGATTTATTCTCATTGTAAGCTATGAAATATTTATGCTTTCACTTTACAGTAAGAAAATCTGACTCATGATTTCAGAGTTAAAACAAATTAGGAAAAACATATTCATCCTGAATGGGCATCCAAATTATTTCATACGTTCAGTTTCCATGTGGCTCATGCTCTAACTCCTGAACTGGAAAACACAGATGAATCAAATTATTTCCATAATTTATGTTGCTGTTGGGCAGCCTGTGGGAATGACAGAAACAAAAACTTAAAGGATTCAAATGTGTCGGTGATATATTTAATGTGGTGTCATTACAGCAAGTGTTAACCAACCCCTCACCTGGTTTTATTCTCTGTGAACCTGACACAGTCTGCAGGCAGAACAGTGAAGTATAAGCCAAATGTAATATTGCATATTTATCTGATTGAAGTGAACTTTAGGGCATGTTATGATCAAGCAAAGCAAGAAACAAACCAAAGCCTTGCAATGCTGTCATATCTAGATCAGAACAACAGTAATCTATAGCAATGATTTAGGGTAAAATCTTTGTCTTGATTTAAGACAAGGCTAAAGCAGCATATCTTTGGTTGGGATGTCTCATCCATTTTGTGTTTTTCACTGTAATACAGTGAATTTGAATGGTAACAGCAGTAAGACCACTGTGTGAAACTAACTGTGCCTACCCACAAGTATATGATACAATAGTTAAATAGATTTATTCTGCACGATACTGGTATTGGTAAACATGTGATGAGATTTTCAATGTCAGTTTTCCTCAGTAAGTTTATTGGTCTTAATTATTTAATTTAGTTTTAGAAGTTATTCCAATATAAAAGCCTATTGTATTAATGGTTCTGACAAAATTATTCAAATATGAACTACTGAATAACCTTTATCATTCATTGTTATTAATAGTGCAACAAAATGCTAAACAACAAGTGAAAATCTGCCTGTATGTGTTGTCTACATCAGTAGATCAAATCCTCAAATGAACAGATTTTGTAAATGCTTCTGTTCCTAATTTTTCCTATTGGAAATCCCTTTGGATTTCTTTGTTCAGGTGATGAACCTTTGGCATCCTTATGCTGCTACATATCTTCACTGCTCTTATGCTTCCTGGAAATATGAGTCTTACTTACAGTTCTGCCATCCAACAAAATGCTTGTTGGAATGTTAAAAGCAGGGCTGCCAATTTTAACTACTGATCATAGATAGTAACTGGAGTAAACAGCCAAGTTAATCAGGTTGTAATATTTAGTTTATTTCTTAAGAACCAAAGAAGTTGACAGAAAAAGGATAGGCCGTTTGTGGTAAGCAGCATCAAGGAACACATCTGATACTTGAAATGTTCATAACTGAATAAATTAGGTCCTTAGTACAATTGCCAATAGTAATTTTTTATGTGATTTTTTTTCAATCTTTTTTAGATTGGAGCAAGACAGCAACCAATATTATAAAGAAGAGTTCTGATAATCTTGGGAAATCCCTATCCTCTAGTTCCATTGGCTCCAATTCAACCTACTTAACATCCAAATCAAAATCTACAACAAACACTTATTGCAAACGAAGCAGCCATACAGGTGAGTTCTTGTACTGTAACCCAGTACATCTGTGAATATGTACTTTTGTGTTAAGGTACACTATACACTTCTACCCAAAGGCTAAGTGGGGAAAAAAATAAAATCAAAAAAAAAAAAAATATATAGGTACAGGGTTTTTAATATATATGTCACTGTTTAATAATCTTAACCTAATATCCAATGTATAGTTCTGATCTGGGTATGTTCCCATACAAAACAACTAGGTGTGATGAAAGTTTTTTCAATAGCACTTTCACCTTTTCAAATAAAAGAAGGTAAGTTTTATTTTCCCTTTGTAAACAGATAGTGACCAAAGCACGGAGCGATGATATTTGTTGCCCAAGGTAACGTGCAAGCTAGCAGCAGAGTTGGAAATAGGAATCATAGGAATTGGTCTTCCAAATCTAAGTCCTCACAGTTGATTCACTCAGCAAAACTGCTTCCATTTCACTCTAACACATTTATGGGTAGAGAGACAAACAGGAATTGCTTGGAAATTGATACTGTGGTCCCAGTGTATGTATTGGTTTTTTCCTTCTACAAATAGTATTCTGTATTTACTGTGTATCTATTTAGATCTTAGTGGTGTATGTAATAAAAGACATCATCAGTATTCCACTCATGCTGTAAAAATGTGCTTATTTTAAGAACAGTTTAAACAAATTCGAAAAGAGAGGAGATGGAACATTTTGCAAAACTCTTTGCTTATGTATCAGTTAATATTTCAGAAAGCCACTTAAATAGCTTATGAAGTATTGTTCAGATTTTTTTGTTAGTGAGTTTTTGTTAACTCATGTTTTCATATCGTATAAAGTCTCATAACATTATCACAGAATCTTCTAAATTATAGCAGGAATAAAATCTACATACATATTTAACCCAAAGAGATGGTTTTCCTTGTTTTAAAATACTTGTTGGAAGCTCTCCTTTGAATATGAATTTTATGAATTTACTGGAAGGCCCCAAAGTCTCATTTCTCATGTTGCAGTCCTGTTTCTTCTTGTGTAGGATACTTTCCAGGAAATACCTTCCTACTTTTATTGATGGTCATTTCCTGTTCCAGTTAGGCAAACAACATTTTTTCTCTAGAATTCCCTACTATTAATTTAGTAGCAGCAGGTCACATTCCTTACCTTGGCCATTCCTGTAGATCTGTCTGGTATTACAGTGGAGGTGAGCATCATGCTCTTGCCACTGTAGAGCATTCACAGTTCTACCAACAGAGTTCTTTCCCATTGGTATTCATGGCAGGTCAATCTGGCCTTTGGCATTATGGCTAAAGATAAAAATATGCTTAAATGTTTTTATTGGACTCAGATGTTTTAATCAGTCTGATGACTGAAGCAACTTCATGCTGGAGCTTTTGCAAAGCAGTTTTGAAGCAAAACAAGGAAGCAGTTCCAGATAAGAAGAATTAAGTTAAAAGAAGCTTACAGTTAGGAACATGTTCATTTGCTTTCTTCAAAAGTGGTGAGCTTAATCTCATGCACAAATTATTTCCTAAAGGGGATTATAGTTGGTAATATAATCATGGCTTGTAATATGATTGTTTAGTGGACATTAATGGAATACCAGCTTTCTCGCTTTCTCAATATTTATTTAATTTTATTACATTCTACTCTGAACTCTTAAAATAATCATTTTATTGTGATACTCCAAAGGAATTTTTACTATAGGTAGGCTTTTAAATACTGACATATCTTCTCACAGTTTTTCAGTAATAGAAAAAAAAAGGTACACGGTTCTCATTTTTAATACAGCTAAACCTCTGAGTTTGATGTCTTAGCTGATTTACAGGTAAAGAGTATAATAGCTACATGTCTTGGCAGCTCTTGTTAATATGGTTACAATGTGCTCCCTGGAATTGACACAGGCATTCATGTGTTTGTTAGATAATGTCTTCTAAGGCCCCTTCCTCATCAGTGGTGGAGCATTACAGGTAAAGTGAGAATTGCTTTTGTCAAATGCATGGTTCGAACAGGGTGGAGGGATACCATTTGCATGATGTCCTAATTGGCACAAAGGACTTTGCTAATCAGAAATGCTGCTTGTTTCTCACTATTGCATCTTGCGTCATTGATGCTGAATCAAAGGGTAAGCGTGCTTCAAACTCTGGGTGTCTGCACTCTGCATGGGGCATGAAGCGTTTGGAAAATGCCATTTTAGAAAACAGACCATGTCCTAACATTAATGCCTGTGTACTGTAGTCAGGGAAAGGTGGCTAAGCACTGAAGAATCGTATATAAATCATATGTTAAACAATATAGCATAGTCCTAGAAAAAAAATAATAAAAAGAATAATTAAACAAGCTATTGGAGGAATTATAGACTAAAATATTTCTGGTCTATGGCCATTATAGAATTCAGAATGACTAGAAGCCATTGTTTTTTCATATCCAGTCACCCAAAATGAATGTAAATGACAAACTATAGGTGTCTGAAAGCTGTGCTGCAAACAGATATTTGAATTTGGAAAGCACCTGTTAGGAAACTTGTGGTGAACAAAAGAAACCACTTCAGCATCTTGTTGCACTGCTGTCTATGTAACTTATGCAAACTTGTTGTAGATAGTACTTAAATACCATATATAATATTTCAATGGATTAGAAGTTTTGATTAGTTCTGCACAAAATTTGGTGATACAACTCCTGTGTACTTCAGTGAGACAGGACTTTAACCCTGTACTTTGATTTGAAGCCCATTCAGATTAAAAAAAAAAAAAAAAAAAAAAATGGTTTCAAAATGGTTTCAAAGTATTTACATAATTCCCATGCAAGCAAATTTCATGAGGATGTAGCAAGTGTTTAACAATGTAGTGATGTCTTGTGGGAAAAAAAAAAAATGCTTATTTGCAAGGAATTTTCCCTTACATTTCCCTAAAGACTAAGAAATAACTTTGCATCTTTTTAATAAGATATTCAATATGTAGAAACACTTCAAAATATAATACTATTGGCTAGTAAATACATGCATTTGAAAGGCATACAGAACCCAGAATTTTGCTATGGGACATGGAGTTATTTATTTCCTGCAATTCATGGACATTCTTGCGTGCTTTGAAAAAATCATTCTGATATGCCTGAACATGCCTGATTCTTTTTTCACAAGTGAAAATGTTTTGATTTCTTTCTCTGCAATCCATTTCTCCTTCATGCAACACATTTTATTGTAAGTCTCTTTTATGGCTTTATATCATGACTTCTGCAAGGGTGGGTCACTTTTCTGATTATTATTTATTAATAATTTATTTCTACAAGAAACAAGTTTTGTATGAGATCATATTTTAAATCATATGTTATTTTTAAACAATCTTTTACAAAGGAATTTTTGAGGGTGATTTTACTAAGCTGTAGTAAACAGCCATCAAAAATGACACGTTGCTGCACAGGATCCTCCATCTTACTATCAGCTTGTGATGATCCAAGCCTTGCCTGGGTCAAGAGTTAACTCCAGCTGTACTCACTACAGTGGAAGAGATAAGAAAGCTCATTAAGACAATGTTCTTGACAAAATAAGATATAGGCTCTCTGTTTCTCATTGCTCACTACATGAGCTCTACCTACTGACCGTTCTCTGAACAGCAATTCTGTTAGCCTCTGAAGCAGACTTTTCCAGATGTACTGGGAAATGCCTTACTCCTTTCTCTTAAATCCAGCCTTGGCACACAGCACATGAATTATAAGAGAATGCTTTTGTGCTTTTTTTTTTCTGCATCTTTTTATCCAACAATCAGAGTTGTTCAGTCTGTACTCTCCTCTCTTATGGTAAAGACAAAATTATGCTATGCAGGTGCAAAGTTTAGGCCAATTTGGGTTCTGGTTATCTGATTTAAAATGCAGGTCATATGTTACATTCCATGACTATTCCTGTGCTTATAACTTCTGAAATGATTAAATCCATTCACTGTCATTTTCCACTACTTTATTATGTGATGCTATTTACCAGGTGTTATGGAGGTCATTTCCTTTACAGTTTTTTGTCAGATTCAAAGCATCAATACTAAATTAATATATTAAAGAACAGAAGTCAACAGCACTTTAGGCAAAGCAACACTGGGGTAATTTTGAGAGAGAACTGAGAGGCCTGCCCACAAAACCAGGTATTGGAAAAGAATTTAGACAAAGCAATGCCAAACAAACAAAACCAAAACAAACCAAAACAAAACAAAAAAGTTGCTTGCTGACTTTCAGGGCAGTAATTTCATTCAGGAGTAGTGACAGTTGAAGGCATACCTATGTGGGAGTGACACACTTCTTAAACTATGAGTTTGTCTAAGAAGCCCTAACTTCATCTTGTTGCTTTTTCCTCTTCCTAGAGAATATTTTTATTGACAAACCATCTTCAAAATTTGCCCAAGAGGATGGAGAACAGACATCCATCATCCCAGTCCATCAAGTTATCGACAAGGTCAAGGGATACTGCAATCCTCACTCTGACAACTTCTATAAAAATATCATCATGTCTGACACATTTAGTCATAGCACAAAGTTTTAGCTGGACTTCTGAATTTTTTGAACTAAATGAAGCCAAAAATCTGTCTGGAATTGAGAATACTGGATGTTTTACAATGTGACCTGCCTAGTATTTTTTCTCAGTTTATAATGTTATCCCATTAACAGCTTCCATTTGTGGAACAATTTTTCTACCTTTTTACTGTTGTAGAAAAAGACAATTTTCCACCAATATACAGAGCTGTTTTAAAATATATGCCAGCCAACATGATACCTGGACAGCTAATTGTAATCCTGTGTAAATATTTTTTTAAGGCAGAAGAAGAGCCACAAGTATAACTCTAAATTATATAGTCTGAACAGAAGCAAGTCTTGACTCCTGGAGAAAATAGCAAACGTCATGCAGCACAGATAAGGCCTTACCAAACAGTCTACTGGTGTTCTATTTCTTTTGAAGAATATGGATTTTCCCTATAATACCTGTTAGATTCTTGCTTCTTGACTGTCCAATGCCGCCTGGTTTTTGTTGGTGGTGGTGGTGGTGGTTTGTTTTTGTAAATGAATAAAGCCCTAACACCAGTGTTAAATGGTTTTTTTAAACCATTTTTGACTGAATAGACCTAATCATGCAAATCTTGCTTACCAAAACTGTATGTGCTGTAAATTTAGGCTATTTTGTAACAAAGTACATAGAAACGTTTTTATTACCTAGACTTAGAAGGACCTGCAGGTTGCTAGTAACTCTTTTGCAAATTTTAAGCCTGTTGATATGTATGGAAACATACAGTGTTGGGTATCATTTGCACTGGTGCAGAACAAGTACATAGGTAAATCCAAAGTTTACACAAAGTTACGTTTCAAAGTTTATTGAACAGTATGTATGAAAAGAGGCATCTCCCATTGCAACACTTGTTTTAGAATGTCTGCACCAGTGCGTGCAGTCATGTTTAATGTTATTTTTTGCTAAACAAACAAAAGACATTCAACTATATATAGATATATAGATATATACCTAGATCTCTCTCCACACATACTTTTATAATAATGCACACAATCAATATTACAGAGGAAATACCGTCTACTACAGACAATCTAAGAACGATGAATGGTGCTAAAACTCAAATACAAGATTAATATTTTGTAAGCCCACATATTCATTCATCAGTTTCTGTATTTCAGATATGGTGTATGTATAGACACCTCCAACGTTAGCATAACCCGGACTACGTTTACCAATAATAAATAAATAACATCTTTCTGGGCACATAACATTATCAGTATCAGTTTCCTTCTGCCCCCCATTGGTTGACTTGACTGAGGTTGTTGGAGGCACATAGTTTAAACAGTGTTCAGGCAACATGAAGGAATTTCACATAGCTATACTGTGTGCATCCCTACACTGAGTTCTGTGTGTACATACAACAGACAAGAGCATACAATGCTTACTTGTTTTAAGCTCTATAAATCTGTGATATGTTAGCTTGTGACCATGTCTGCCAAAAGTACGTGAAGATCCTTGCCAGCGCTTATAAAAACTTTTACTGCACATGTCTATGAAAGCATGGGCCAAAACATCAATGCTGTTATCAAATAATGTTTTCAGAGGAGAATGTCTCCTAAAGGATTTTTTTTTTTGAAAGAAAAAGACTTTTTTTTTACCAAGTACTTTTAGCCAAATACTTAATTAGCTATATTCAGAAGGTGATCAGAAAGTTATGCTGTGAGATTTTCAGTTGCCAAGCAGGTGGATGCTCAATGATTAGGGATGTGGATTTGTGCCTCTCTCTGCTCTTTGCACACACTTTTGTGTGCAGAGATCATTTAATGCTGTGACCGCACAAATGGAGTATATTCCCTGGCTGCAAACACCTCGCAGGAGGAGTATTTCCTAACTGTATTCTGTCCAGAAACACTGTTGTTTTTACATGTACCTTAATGAAACCTCACTCTCCTAACTGCAAGTACTTACATGGTGGTATGAATGAAAGTCAACCTTTTTCACTTAAAATGTAATTATTAATAGTGATGAATGTTGTCTGATATCTTTACAGAGGGAAATAATGTAGGGAGAGATTATGTACAAGCATTTATTGGATTTATATATCATTCCACTTGCTTAACTACTGTAGATAATAGTGTTGACATAGCAGCTTACTGTGAGATTTCTACCTGATTAAGGTGTTCAGAAGTGAAGAGAAGGAAAACCAAACATTCCTGAAAAAATGAGGAATAATAAAACATAATAGATTAGTAAAATATAAATAAATAAGTAAATAAATAAAAACACAGTATCCTGACTGAAGCAGAGCTGTAACCTGTCAGTTTAATGTACAGATACCTATATTGTTGCTGAATTAAGATTTTTCTCTTTTTTTTTTACTACCATGTAGTAATCTTAAACTGTCTGTGTCAGTTAAATGCTCTTGAATACTCTCAGTTCTACAATGTAAAGCTTCTACTTTGTAGTTGACATGCTGTAACCTCTCTTGTATATACTTATTTATTTATGAGGTTAAATATGTCAAATATATTTAGCTCTATAATGATTGTTCTTGTTGCTTTAAAGGTAAGCTTCTGTTTCATCATAAAAGAAGAGGGAATTCTTTTTTTTTTCTTTTTCCAAACACCTTGTGAAACAATTTACTGTAGTTCTGTATGAGCAAACATGTCAACTTAATTTGTAATACTAGTCAGTGGAATATAGTGTAACTGTTTTGAAGAGGGACTAAAATGGAAAGAAACATTTTCAAGTAAACTTTCTTGATGTTAGTGTTCCAAACAATTAAAGTCTTTTAATAGTGAATCGTTGTTTTTTCTTTTTCTTTTTCTTTTTTAGTGTTTAATGGCAAAAATTACTCTGTGGAATTCTGGAAAATAATCTTCTGTTTGTTAAGTATGTGAGGCAGGTACATGCCTAGCCAAAATGTTGGAAATAAATGTGCAAGACTAACTTCATTTTATCAGAGGAATTCATTTTGCAGAATATACTTTTCCTTTTTGTGATTAAATTGATGCGAGAGCCAGTGAATAATCAGAAAGTTATGCAAGTTAATTTATTTATGGTGAAAGTTATGTCATAGCAAGAAAGGAAAATCAAGGCAACAGACAATATGCTGGGTTAATATTTTAGAAGTAATACAAATTAATAATTGAAAACTCAGGAGTTATTTCTATTCATATGTTTCTTTCCAGCTGAATTTAGTCCTTCATTACCAATAACTGATTTAACTTGTAATCATACTTTGACTGATCACTGTTATAATATTGTAGTCAGCCAATCAATTAAATATTCACACCAATATATAAACATTAAATGTAACACACTAATGGCCTACTTTTGAATGTTTACCCTTGAAGAACATGGAAACCTGCTGAAATGTGTCAGATCTGCTCCCCTGTTCTTAAGGCTCATCTAAGAAAATGCATAATATATGAAGATTGGGCAGTAATATTTATAGAAAGCAATGAAAACAAAAACATAATGTCAATGAGGATGCTGGTCATGCCTGTGGGCAATATGTCCTCGTGTGTGTGGACAGTGAACACTGCTCTTGGGCTTTGTGCCTTGAACGGTGTAGGAGGACCCTCTGAGCCCAGGCTTTTTCAAGTGGGATCTTGGCAGATGCCAAACCTGTAAGGAGTGATTTGCAGCATTTGGGGGTGGATTTCTTTTTCTCCTCATTTCATCACTTTTTAAATATCAAGAACAATTTTATTTTAATCCTCTACCATTAACAGCTTCCTAATGTAACCCATTGAGTTACATAAAATGCCACTTCGTTTTGTTCTTTTTGAAAGGCTGATCTATAATCAGACACATCTATGTAACTACAAGGATATCTACCAAGTTACAGGGCATCAGTCTGTCATTCTTGGAGTGGTTTCAAAGATTTTTTATATGTTTAGTGTATATAGAGATATCTAACCAATATGGTTCAGCAAATCAGGCAAAAGGCTTAGAAGTTAAGGTCAGGCAAACCAGTCTGTGGAACAGCCATTTCATTCTCAGTGCTACAGATACTGCTATGCTAAGGAAACTTTCTCCTTTGTCCTCCTTTTAGTTGGTCTTTGGCTACTTGATCCATGTAATTTGGAGTGTTCCTGGCTTCATCTTCACACTCCCATCCTCAGGACAATTATTTCCTGCAGTGCTGGGAAAGGGAAAGGGAAAGGGAAAGGGAAAGGGAAAGGGAAAGGGAAAGGGAAAGGGAAAGGGAAAGGGAAAGGGAAAGGGAAAGGGAAAGGGAAAGGGAAGAGATGTTGTCAAGGCCTGCTCTACATTTTTTTACACTTTCCATGTAATTTCTTGTCCGTTCTCTAGGATATGCAGCCTGACCAGTGATGGAGGCAGGCCACTGGAGTAGGCAGAACATACTACAATGGCTATATGTGCACCTATCAATGAAAACTAATATTTTTTTTACTCCCCAGATTTAAGCTGAAGATCTACCATGGTTCTTCAAGGTAGCAGCTACAGTATTTCCATGTTGGAGGGTGACCCAACAATAATATCTCTGAAATTCAGGAAGATACTTATGCCACCCATGATGAGAAATCATCCTGACAAGCTTCAAGCACCATACCAGGAATAACTAAATAAATCTCTCAGAGGCTTTTTCTAGAAAGGTAGCTCTTCCTCAGATACATCTGCTTGCTCAAATCCACTGCTGCCATTAATCTCAGATTTGGTAATCAAGAGATTTGCTTTGTGGTGATGTCCATATGGGCTGTATAACCAGCACCACCTAACGGCACTTTTAATGATATGGTTTTCATGAGGAGAGATGGATGACCTACCCTACAAAATAAATGCCAGCTCAAATCTTCAGCACAGAGCAGCCAGCCAAGGACTCGGGCTGCTCTATAAGTCTGGGCACTTTGCACCTAGTCTATGCTAGTAAGAGCTCTCAAAAAAACATAGTTTTAGACAGAAAATCGTTCTGAAAAATCCCAACTGTGTTCCGTATGTGAAGTGTAGGAAAAAGAGCGAGTGCTGATAACTCTGTTCAGATGTTTCCTTCCACTGCCAGGTCTTTTCCCTTTTAGGAGCCCACAGAAACAGGGGAAGAAGAGAGCAATGGCAGGGCAGTGAATCGTGCTCTGCACTGTGGGCAGAGGGCTCTTGTTGTCCTTGTTGTGTCTTTTTGTCCTCTGTATTTCAGCTGCAATGTAATATAACATTCAGGCAATGTTGTAACATCTTCAAAATTCCAGTCGTTTTCCTTTCCACTTGCCTGGCACAATTGCTTGTGATTTTCCAGCAGAGGGCAGTAGCATATTAATAGACATAACGCTGTTAAAATCAAGTGAAAAATGCAACAAGATTCTTCCATATGTAAGCACCAGCACAGAGATAAGTAGGAGAGTTCATATCAGGTTTGTCTATTATTTAGTAATCTGTTACATCAGCGGATAGAGCAAACACTCTGCAACTCGGGGAAGTGAGGGGAGAAAGCTGTCTGCCTGCATTTGGGCATATTTACTGGAAAGAGTCATACAGAATGTCTCTGTATTTTCTCTTGCTGGTTGCTACATTTTCTCCTTTTTTGCTCTGAGAAGATGTAATGGAATTAGCAAATATTGCACTGCTGTCAGCTGAGCAAACAGTCAGCTCTCCATTTCAGACTTGCACGTTAGCTTGTTCCAGCACTGGGCAAGTGATTTGATCTGCTGGGCTGGCATCCTGTGACTCAGAAATTCAGTGTATGTATAATTGTCTAGGGAGGAAAAAAAAACAGCAGAGCTCTGTTGATGGTGGCATACATACCCATACCTCCCTCCCACATTTTCCCCTCAACAACATCAGGACAGAGCTGCACCCAGCTGGTCCCTCTGCTCCACGTACTTTTTCCCTGTGTCACATGTGAGCAGCTCAGCTCAAGTGAGTGCAGCTATATCGCTGCCCCCAGAACTGCTCTCTCCTAGGGCAGGATTGACCAGAAAGCTGCTTCACTGGCAAATGGCACCATGTTGAAATTAAAATGTCTCATCAGCAATTCTGGCAAGAACTTCAAGGGAAAAAATATGAAACAGTTTGAATCACCCCATCCATGCTTGTCCCAGGAGACTCTCTGGTCTGGCACATTCCTCTCCCCACACATGCACCAGCTCTTCTCTGCCACCCAGATAAGAGAAGGGGGCTGGTCTCAGGGAGGTACAGCAGCACAAGTACATGCCCAGTTATAGCCTCTCCTAATTTTCAGAGAAGCACCATAGGGATGGCAGCCTTGATTGCTGGAAGAAGGAATGGTGGCATTGGAGATCCGGGAACAACCAAGACTTGTAAAGAGAGGGCCATAAAATTAGTATGATGGATGTTATGACACCATCACTGCTCCAAAACATGTTTTATCTGTGTTGCACACATTCAGAGTCACCAACTAAAGGAGCTCTCAAGGGACTTTTGTGCAAATTTGCAACAACTTAGTATAGAACGGACACAGGTTGCACTCTCCAGGGAGGGCAGCTCAGGGGTGATGCAGCTCCAGCAGCCTAGCTGGACTTTGACCCATGTATGGCTTCTTCGCTGTTGGTGCAACCTAGAGATGGTGGTAAATGTGAGGCAAGAATTGAAGCAGTCAGGCCAACACCTCTTGCAAGCTGATGGGATGTATGGAGCCAGAACTAAAATAGGATTTAGGCAAGCTAGACCTCAAAATAGTGATCCAAACCAGACCCCGCACCCTGCTCTGGTTAGGTGGCAGCTCTTGATGAACAAGAGGAACTTACACTAATTTTAGCTACATTACACTAAAGAGAGGCTGGGGTCAAGGCTGCCAGTTCCCAGTAGGTGACTCTAAGGACTACCTTCTGGAGGAACTTCACTGCATTTTCAAATAAAAGGTGAGTCTGTGAAAGCCCCATACCATGTACCTCAGGGTTTTTGCACCAACCAGCCTCAGATAAAGGCATGGTGAAATGAGTCTTTGTTGTGGTGCTTCTGAGGTGGCTGAGCAGAAGGGAGAGAATATCTGAATACATACTTCTTTGCAGAAAAGATCAACTCAAAAAAGATTAACACAGGCAGAAGAAACCTGTCCCTGTGAGTATGACTGTTGGATACTGTTGCTGGGTAACGGATAACTTTAACTCATCCCATTCTTTTATTCTTGTTTATTTTTAATGCCTCCTATGGGTCTTTCTCACTTAGCTTGTTGTTTTCACTCAGACTGATGTACTATGGTTCAGCAAATAAGCCAACCTGTGACTATTTTATCCTACCAAGTAATGTATATAATGTTTTCTACATTCAAGCAAAGAGATCCTCTGATTACCATCAGGCTGGGCATTGACAAGAGAACAAAAAGGTCCTAGTAAAGGACCAGAGGACTTCCAGGACAGAGGGGACCCTCCATCACTGGAAGGGTCTCAGAACAGGCTGAACATGGGCTTTCTAAACCCACTCATGTGGATGCCATCAGCAGCTCAGACAGCAGTATCAGGTAACACAGTCTCCTGCTCTGTGATCCTCTTTAATTTCATGTAACTATTTTTACTAACACACTAAACAGCATGAGGAGGAAGGTGTTCCTACAACAAATTAATATCAGTGCCCTATCTCCACAGCTTATCTTCTTCTCCTTCCTAATCTCTCAGCTGCTAGCCCTTTGCCCACAACTGCCTTATCCACAGCATAGCTTCACCCTCCCAAGCCAGAACCCTACACTCAGCATCTTGCATGCCACCACTGATCACCCTAGCCAGCAGCCTCCTCTCACAGAGGCAACAGCCCCCATCATTTAACTTATCTAAGCCTCTGCTGTTGATTTAATGCAGAGATGGGATATAAAGCCCCTCCTAGGTCTGGAGGAGTCAGTCACAGGTGCCATTACCACCATCACCTTTCAGTCCTGGTGGACTGCAAGCATCTGTGTTAGACATGCATATTGCAGGGCTGATTTTGATATTGATAAGTTTGCCTAAAAGTGGGGAAGAGAATTAAATGACTTCCTGAGAACACTTCTGATTCCATTTTCATTTTTCACTATTATTCTACTCAGATTAACACACTTTTAAGAGTGTTACCATCTCTAGTAGTCTCGTCAGGGCTGTGTATGCTGGACACCAGGGCTTGTGACTGGCACCTTTAAGTACTAGGTCAAAACTGTGCTGGAGGTTCATGTATTTGTTTTGCTCCTTAGCTTTTGTTCTAAGTTCATGCAGTTGTGTGAGCTGCTACTGTGAGCATGCTGGCCTGCTCCTTTACTGAATCTGCCAGCAAAAAGTGACAGGCCCTTTATCTCCCACTTAAAGGAAATCCATCCATTACTGAGGATGCTGCAAAAGACATTTCAGTGCTTTCTTTCAGTGAGGCTGAAAAAAG